GCTGAGGGGAGGTAAACAGTATCATCGAGTAACTTTTGGGAAAGTGCTGAAAAGTTATGGCTTTCTCTCCCTCCTTCTTTTGGCTGGAATGCCTGGGGCTCCATCAGCCACCTTGGACCACGAGGAATGAGAACTGGGCCTTGCCATCGGGACCGTGGAAGGTGAGGCTGAGAGGGACCTGGTCCCTGACAGCTTGGTAAAACTGCAACAACAGCCCTGGAATGCCCCCTATTGGCTTTATGTCAGAAAGAAAATCTTAGGTATTTAAGACTGTGTTGTTAGATTTTTTTGTCACCTTATTCTGATAACAATATTCTTCCCCCTGAATATCTGGTGTCTACTTGCTTTATATTTATATAACTGGAAGGGATCACTCAACTACTTTCAGAACAGAATACTTAAGTACTTGCCAGAATAATGTCGGTTCCAAGGTGACTTGATGACTTGATCTTTTTCTTTTTTTAGACTTTAATTGTTTGTTTTTAGAGAGAAGGGAATGGAGAGAGAAAGAGAGGGAGAAAAACGTATGTGCAAGAGAAACATCAATTGGCTGCCTCTCACACGCCCCCAACTGGGGACCTGGCCTGCAACCTGGGCATGTGCCCTGACTGGGAAGCAAACCAGCGACCTTCTGGTTCCCAGGCTAGCATTCAACCCACTGAGCCACACCAGCCAGGGTGATGACTTATTTATCACCAGAGATTGATTTTTAAAAAATTGGTGCTGTGGCTGGTGTGGCTCAGTTGGTGGGCAGTTGTCCTGTAATTGAAAGGTTGAAGGTTCAATTCCAGGTCAGGGCACACACCTAGGTTGCAGGTTCAGTCCCTGGTTGGGGCATGTACGGGAAGCAACCAATTGATGTTTCTCTTTCACGTCAATGTTTCTCTCTCTCTGTCCCTTCCTCTCTCTCTAAAGTCAATAGACATTTAAACAAATTTAAAAAATGCCATTACCCTCACAAGATACAAAGTTGAAGGTACAATAAAACACAGAGTAAAAAATAAGTCACCTCCACCTTTATCCTTTAGCTATCTGGTTTCTATCCCCAAAGGCAACCATTGCCAATTTCTTAAAAAAAAAAAAAAGATTTTATGTATTTATTTTTAGAGAGAGGGGAAGGGAGGGAGAAAGAGAGGGAGAGAAACATCAATGTGTGGTTGCCTCTCGCTCGTCCCCCACCAGGGACCTGATCCTCAACCCAGACATGTGCCCTGACTGGGAATCAAACCAGTGACCCTTTGGTTCATAGGCTGGCGCTCAATCCACTGGGCCATACCAGCCAGGGCTGCTAATGAACTTAAATAGCAACATTTCCTTTTTATAAAGAAAACAATAATTTTATTTTTGATTTTGGAGAGAGGGGAAGAAAGGGACAAAGAGAGGGAAACATCAGTGATTGAGAAACATCAACTAGTTGCCTTCCACACCTTCAACGCAGGCATGTGCCCCCACCAGGAATCAAACCAGTAAACTTTCGGTTTGTAGGACAATGCCCAAACAATTGAGCCACCAGAGCAGCAAGCTTTCTTTAAAAGAGAGAAAAAAAAAGTAAAGTTCCATCTTATGGGACAGCCTGCTATGTAATAAACCTGTATAAATAAATGCATCAATTTTTATAACTCTCAATAAAGAATCCAAGTCATTTTGATTTTACTATCCATACTTTTTAATTCAAGATCACACTTACTTTATGGCTCAGATTTAAATGTTCAAGCCCTTAGTTACATGACTGCCAAATATCAGTCCTCTTCCCTAGCTCTCTTCCTTGTGCAGTATGAAACACTGAATCTGCTGACTGAGCAGAAGTGGGGCGGGCGTTAGGTCTAGGGAGACCACAAGGGACAGCTCCATCAGTGAATTAAAAGGGCGTTTTAGAGGATGGGGTTTTAGTTGTGAATTATTAGACCAGGTTTTTCAGTAAAAAACAGTGATAGTCACATAACTGCAAACATACTTGATGAGTGGATTCTCTGTGCCAGGCACCATACTAAGACCTTAGATGCACAATCACACTGAAACTTCACAGTGATCCTGAGTTAGGTACCGCTAAAAAGCACTTATAAATGAGTGAGCCAAAGAGAGGTTAAGGTCAAGGTCTCCAGATACAAAATGAATATTGAGGTTTGAGTTCCAATACTTTGATTATAGAACCTTCACAAAACCCAGGATTTAAAAAAAAATTATTTTACTGATTGAATTGAGGGGGCAGGCTGGAGGAGGGGGAAGAAGAGACAGAGAGAGTGAGTGAGAGTGAGAGGAAGATATTTGTTGTTCCACTCATTGATGCATTCATTGGTTGATTCTTGCATGTGTCCTGGTCAGGGATGGAACCCACAACCTTGGTGTATCAGGATGATGCTCTAACCAACTGAGCTACCCAACCAGGGCAGAATCCAGGCTTTCAACCACAAGATGACTGTGCCAGATGAGTAAGTCCCATACATGCAAGAACCTTCCCTAAGGTCCCAATGTACCAAGCACGCTGATTGGGTACACTGGGACCTTAACAAATATTAACAAATCAGCAGATTAACAAATATTCATGGGATTAAATATCCACTTATTAACAATGCGAGTATGTTAGGGACAGGAAGAGGATGGTAGCATGCCTTACCAGTGACTATAGGCTGTCCCCTACTCAGGACACACCATCTAACACCCAGATCCAAGGGAAGGAAGCCAATTTAGGGGCTTGAAGGGCCCTGAAGGTTGGAACCTGGTGGGCAGGGGGCAGCTCTGGCTCAGAGAGACCTTTCTCTTTGCCCTGGTGAGGCCCAATGTGCTGTGAGCCTGCCCACAGGAAAAGGCCCTAGATTGTGCTGGATACATTTCTTACCAAGTTTGATGCAGAACCTTTTTTCTTAACCCCTCTTCCTGAACTATTTTAAAATACATTAGTGTCTAACTTACCCATTTTATTGCTGTACTTCTAATACCTAGAACAGTGCCTTGGACATAAATTTACCATTTTAGCTATTTTTAAAAAGATTTATTTATTTATAGAGAGAGGGGAAAGAGGGAGAAAGAGGGAGAGAGAAGCATCAATATTTAAGAGAAACATCAATTGGTTGCCTCTCATGTACCCCCAACCAGGGACCTGGCCCACAACCCAGGCATGTGTCCTGACTGGAATTGAAACTGGAATGTTTCCGGTTTTGGGACAACACCCAACCCACTGAGCTACACCAGTCAGGGCAGTAGGCCTTTATTTGTTGAATGAACAGTTAAGCTACACACCTGATCCTGGCCAGGTGGCACCTCCAACACACAGATTTAGGGGACATTGCGTTGTCTTCCGTTGGGTTTGAATTAGCTACATCACAGGTTGGGGCTGGGCACTGACTGATGGCCTCCAACACCTGAGAGTGGACTCGCTGCAGGGAACATTATTTTAGGAGTTACAACCCATGTGTATCTCAATCATCCTGTTTCGCTACCTACAGCAGAGATTCTCAACCTTTTCCATCTCATGGCACACACAAACCAATTACAAAATTCTGTGTCACACACAAAATATATTTTTTGCCAATCTGACAAATTATAGGTGTAGTTTTGATTCATTTCACACCAATGACTACTGTGTTAGACAATGTAAGGGAAAAGTCAGTGCCCTGACTAAATAGGTATTGCATGTTTTAAAAATTCTTGCAGCACACATGTTGAATATTGCTCACCTACAGGGATGAATTGCTAGTCTTACATACAGCAAGTTTTTCCTCTTTTGAGTTTTGGTAGGAAAACAAAATTCTGCCGAGAGCAAAAATTTAAGACAAATCATTATACAGTGTCAGGTTCCATCATACATGAACCAATGTGAATACACATAGATAAACTCTGAGACAGAAACACACCATAGTTTAACTGACAGACAGACAAACACTGAGACTCTGGAAGTAGGAGAAACATTTTGGAGCTTCAGTGTCTGTCAATTAAACTATGGTGTGTTTCTGTCTCAGAGTTTATATAAGTGCTGAACAAAGCAGGGGGTTGTAACTGAGTCAATAGCCATTCCAATCCCCTTGTACAAGATACAAAAAGGGGAAAGGACTAGACAGATTACTAGTTAGAAATATGTATCTATTAATGGATGGGACAGAATTTAAATGTTTTTCATATTTCTTCCAAACAGGCCCAGAGTAAAATGCTAACCTATTGAGCTCACTCTTGAGATTAGATTGCTATCTGGTCTTCAATCTCTGTGCTTGCTACAGCACCAAATGCCAAGGTCAGAGCAAAGGATCACATTAGGGAAAATGTTACTACCCACCCATGGCACAATGCGGAGTCAACACTGCTGTTGCCAGTGGTCCCAGCGGGGCTGGCACTACTCCAGAACCAGTGCATGCAGAACACATCACTTCTTATTGGGTGGTGAGCTCCCTCATGTAACCCTTCCGTTTTGAGATACATGGTGATGTAAACCCAAGCCCCCATCTGTGCCCATCGAAATCACGTCTCCCAGGGACACATCAGCACCCAGAGGGTACTCCCTCAGGCAGGATGGGGCTCCTGGAAATGTGCCTTTACTACTCACAGAGGCACATGACTGCCACAATCTTCCTCCCCCACTTCACATATGTGTCACCCAGAGGAAAGTGGGTGCTGGTGTTCCCTCCTGCTATCCAAGTACATCCTCCCTGGCTCTAGTGTGCATTTCCAGCAGTCCTGGATCCAGTCAGGCCTGAGGCTTCCTTCCCAGGCAGTTGTCCAGGAAGGCAGCTTTGCAGCCCTTGGATTCTTGGCAGGTTGTGAGCAGCCCTGCTGGTAGTGAGGCCCCCCAGTGGCAACCCTGAGTAAGTGCGTTAACAAACTTACTCCTTTGCCTTGAACCAGGCCAACTCAATTCAAAGACACAGAGAGGCTGAACAAGAAGAAAAATGACATTTTTTTCCACATCACTGACACCCTATGGAAAGTTCATAGGTCAACCTCCTGGGTGTAGTGGGACCATAGCACCAAACTACAAATTGTAATAGAATTTTAAACATGAATCTTGGCCAAAAATAATTCAGATTAAGAATTCCTAATTCAGAACCACATCAGCATGGGGGAGCAAGCACCCATTCTAACACGGACCAAAGTACTTCAGCAGCATCAACTCAGTAACACGGGAATCAAGTAGGAAATGTCCAAAAAATGTAAGTCTAAAAAACACCACTTAAATTCTTTGAGACTGCCACTTTTTCTTTTACTACACCCCTCTCTCTACTCGTCCAAACCATCTTCCTGCTCAACAATAAACTCCCATCTCTTTGGTTCAGGCTATTTCTTCCAGTGGCTTTACATGATGAGATAAATTGACTGAGTCATATAAGTAAACCTTCTCAAGTGTATGGAGCCAGAATTGGTGTCAAAGCCTTACTTTTTTTGCACTATCCCCTCACTCCCAACCAAGAAGCCTTGGTCCTGAAAGGCCCCACTGGGCAGGAAGGAGTCAGGACGGTGGGATGAGGCTCCACAGTACATTCTCCAGGGGCAGAGGGGCTGCAGCCATCACTATTTCTTCTCTGTGGCCCTGGGCCAACTTGGCACAAAGAAGGCAGTCTCCAGGACCAAACCCTTCCTGCTCTCTAGAAGACAAGCTATGTACTTTTCTTTCCTATGTTGCAGATATCCCCCTCAGAAACCCTGAAGAATCCACTAGCAAGGGTGCATTCACTGGCAGATGCCTGAGTATACTAAATGCAGGTCTCTTTTTTCTTTTTTAAGATTTTATTTATTTTTGGAGAGAGGGGAAGAGAGGGAGAGAGGGAAACATTGATCGGTTGCCTCTTGCTCACCCCCAAGGGAGTACCTGGTCCACAACCCAGGCATGTGCCCCAACGGAGAATCAAACCAGTGACCTTTTAGTTTGCGGGATGATGCCCAACCCACTGAGCCACACAGATCAGGGATAAACGAGGGTCTTTCTGGGATACCCTGCTGGTTCTCTCCTCACAGCCTGACACATGCTTTCTGTTGTCACCATACATTTTCCGTTCGAGGAGGCTGCCATGCCAAGTGGGCAAGTCCCCAGATCCAGCTGGCACTCACCCATGTGGGTCTCCATTCCTCTGAGTGACCCTTTCACCCCTTACAGCTGGCACCTGCTGCCAGTGCCCCTGGGGCACTTTTTAAGCCACCAGTTGTGCACCTGCCTGTTGCTTCAGGAGGGGTGCAGATGCCAGTACAGGCAGCCTGGACCGGCCTCGCTCATCATCTCCACATATAAAGACAGTCCCCACCTCAGCAGGGCCCAAAGGCCACGAAGAACAGGCTTGACTCTGTCACATAGTAGTGACAAGGCAGTGCCACAACCTGTGGGACTGGAGGTAGACGAAAACGACAGGGTGGCCAGGGCACCTGTGAAAGGCATTTCAGAGCAGCTTGGGCCTCACGGCAGCCTCAAATCAATTACAAATCCTAGACTGTCTCATTTGCTTAACCAGTTTTTCCAGTGACACTTCAATGCTGGCTTTCGTGGTTTCAAAAGTAAAACCAAATAACAAAACCTCCAAATTTTTAAACTGAATAAATAGTAACAGTATTTACAAGGGTACATCAGACTGAGATTCCAGCATGACTGAGGAACTGGAAACCTGGGGCTGTGCCTTGGCTCTGGGGCTCAGCACCCTCGGTCCTGGGCCCTGATGGGCAGATGAGTGAAGTGGGAAGCAGTGAAGATGCCTGGCAGGGCATCCCTGTAAGTCAGGGAGGTGGGTGGGCAGGACGCCTGGAGTTATTCCTGGGTTAGGTTTAAAGAAACGACAGAGAAAACTCAGTTGTCCTGACCAAGCGGTGTGGTCAGTTAGTGGGTGAGCTGCTCCCGGGGGCGCAGGGGCCTTCTTTGACTGCTGACAAGGCGTGGGAACCAGGGCCTCCGCCCCAGGGAGCACATGGCCGAGGCAGCTGTTGGTCTGAAGGCCCTTTCTAGACAGGACAAGGTCAGGCATGGTCCCCTCTTCCTTGGACTATGTGACAAGGGGGATGTGGAATTCGTTTGTGTCGAAGATCAGGGGTCTCCTGGGAGGGCTCGGGTCTTTGTCAGCCTTGTGGAGCAGCTTGAACAGCCCAGTTCCAATGTTCATGGGGATTCCCATGATGATGCATTCAGACACCCCTGAAACCAACCAGAAAGAAGATTAGAGAGCTTCTCGACACAACGGTGGGCTGTCGAGATGGAAAGACTGCTGACTGAGGAGCCAGAAACTGGGATTTGAGTCCCAGCCCCACTGCACATCAATGGGTTGCACTGGGGCTGGCCACTACTCCTCGTCTGTGACAGGGAGAGGGCTGAGAAGCACAGGCTGCACACTGTGCGTCTAGATGTGGGGGAGAGTTCGTGTGCTCGGGGAAGGGCAGTGCCCTTTCACAGCCCAGCTGCTGGCTGGAGACTGACGGCTCAGCAGTTCGCTCCATCTTGAGCCAAACACTCTGTAGCACTAAACATAGAGAGCAAGGCTAGTGAAGGATGCTCAGGGAATCCCTAATTTGCCAGCCAGTGTTTCCTATCTTAGCGCCAAGAAGAAAAGCAAACAGCGTGATATGATCAGGCAATAATCTCCTCGGAACCAGCAACAGCAAGAGGTTCACTGTGCTCAGAGGCCAGGGTTGGGCTAGGATGAAAGGCACCCCCAGCCTTGGGAGATCAGAGCTTTAACTGGGAACACTCCAAAGGCAGGCAGGGTTCCTAGTAGAGCGACAGAAATAAGGATGTGGTGAAGATTCTTTCCCAAGCTCCCTTTCAGCTTTCTAAGATGCAAATGCTGGACTCTGCATCAAGCTTCTGGCTCTAAAATAAGCAAGTGTGTGCCTGCTGCATTCTGAGCTCTGTGCTATTGTGAAACCAGACAGGCAAACCACCAAACTAAAACCCAACACATAGTGAGGACTGACACTATGTTACAATGTGTAAAGGATCAGGAGGAGGGGGAAGATTTCAAAGTGGGGGTTGGGTGGCTGTGCCAGGTGCCTAAAGGGGTCGCAGCGGAGAGGGAGCAGAGGGCAGGGCCTCAGGAGGGCAGCAGGGTGACAGAACAGGCCCAGGGTCCCATGTCCTGTTGGAAAGGTTGGGGTGCTGGGTCTCAGTGCCCTTGTCAAGCAGACTTGCTCTTACTTTTACCTTGGCTTTGGCCTTCTCCTGCTCCAATTTCTGTTCCCTTTTCTTGCCTTTCACCATTTATTATCTTAAAGAATTATGTACTTTCTTTTTCCTTTCATCTGCAACTTATACCCCTTTTGAAAGGCATTCGTCTTAGGCATATGCTGACTGGGCCCCACTAGACCATCACCTGTTTGGCAAACCCACACAAGAGTAGGCGGTGAGGCTTTGAAATGGCCACTAGGAAGCAGAGATCTGGAGGCAGGGACAGCAGCCAGGCTTGGACTCCCCACATGGGCTGATGAGTTTGTGACCTTGGAAAGCTACTGACCCACCTCAGCCCCTCATAAGCTCCCACTCAGGCCTGTAGGGTCTTGGCCTGAGAAAGGCTGAAGTACAGTGGGCTGCTGTAAAGGACACAAGGAAGAGCAGGGTGGACAGCAGGCACCTTTGTGACAGCTCCCGCTTAACACTCCTTTCTCTCCCAGGCCCCATCAGAGAAACACTGCATGGTTGGGGGATACGGCCAGCGTAGCGAGAATTTATAGTCACGCTTGATGGCAAGTTAGTTTCTTCGTTCTTCTCACTTGTAAAAGGGTTTAATGCCTACACCTCCCAGAGGTGCTGAGATATGGGCATTTAAGGTGCCTGGCACAGGGGCTCAACAAGCTGGCTGCCCTTCCCAGGCAGGAAGGACAACAGAGACACATGGCACTGCCCTCTCCTGCCAGCCTTGGCATCACATGGGCTGGGAAAGTTCCTACAGGCCCATGGTTGATCTTTTTCTTCTTGGACCAAATATTGGCGGTACTGACAGAGAGGCCCTATAAAAGATGGGGGGATGCAGGATGCTCTGCTCAAGCTCTGGAAATGAAATTGATTGGTTCCAATTCCATGACCTGTAACTTTATTCTTAAAAAATAAAAGCTCTGCCTACTCAGTTTGTTCACTTCCCCAAAAGCCCCTGCTAGGGTTTAAGTTACAGACAACCAAGGCCTTGGCTACGCTTTTAGAAACACCAAACCTACCACACACGGAGTCCTTCTGCCCAAAGTAGGCAGCATCAAAGAGGTGGTCAGCCGTCTTCTCAAAGGAGGCCAGCATCAGCACACTCTCTTTCATCTTGGCCAGGCCAAACCTAGTAATGCCCAGAACTTCCCCCTGTGTCAAGGGATAAACGTGTCAGAGTGGTACCCACGCCACTTGTGAAAGCTCAAAACCAACCACATCCACGGCATCCCCTCAACAGAATAAGCAAAAATTAGCCCAATACAGCGGTTGCTCAAGTCACAACCTCAGGCTAGAACGGGACCCTAATAGCTCTCTGCCCCACCTGTGTCTCTCACTGGGGCTATTCGTCATGGACATTCGTCATGGATCCTCACACTCACAGGCAGGGGCCGTTGGAACAAACAATTAGGAACCGAGAACTAGAGTTCAGAACCTAACTTTAGAAAAAAGAGAGTACTTCTGAAGATGTTTACTATGGCTTAAAGAGCTCAAAATGCAACTTAAACACCTCAAAGCCGGGAGAGAGTTAAGTACATTTAGGTGTTTTCAATCCAAGGACTGGTGAGCCATCATTAAAAAGGTATATTTAAAAAACTATGAAGCCCTGGCTGGTGTAGCTCAATAGATTGAGTGCAGGCTGCAAACCAAATGGTCGCAGGTTCAATTCCCAGTCAGGGCACATGCCTGGGTTGTGGGCCAGATCCCCAGTGTCGGGTATGTGAGAGACAACCACACATTGATATTCCTCTCTCTCCCTCTCTTTCTCCTTCCCTTCCCCTCTCTCTAAAAGTAAATAAATAAAATTAAAACAAAACAAAATAAAAAACTATGCAACAACATGGAAAATACAATGTTAAATAAAAAGTCAGGATAAAAACCGGTGCCCACTCTTTACTGAAACCAGAGTAACACAATATATGTGTGCAAAGCAAGGCTGAAAGGGAAGACTTGACAATAACAGCCTTATGTAGGTGGTGAGAATGGGCCACTTCTCCTGCCTAGTTTCTGAACATTCTACAGCACAGTGCAGGTCTGAATGGGAAAGGCCTTGGAAACCTCTTGTCATATAGCACTGCTAGACAGAAGGCACTTTGGAGGGAAGAAAGAAAATACAACCAATCAACCAACCAACCAACCAACCAACCTCAGTCACCCACCCCCAAGATCATGTTAAACTTATTCTTTTCCTGGGTATGGCTACAGAAGCGTGATGAATGGGTTTAATAGGGAATAAACACCTCAGTTTGCCAGGAAATCCCTGCCCTTTTGTCAACGGCTAGCTTTGCTTTAGAACAAAATTTCTAATAAGAACAAAAGACCATGCTCCACTGCATACCATTCCAGTGTTTGCACTGGAATTTTACTGGAGCAGCCAGCTAAGCACCATGATTCGTTTTTTTGGGGGGTGGTGCCACCTTATTTTTGCTCAATGGACATCAGAGCCATGTACTCTCCATGTCTTAGCATGACAGCTTCCTTCTCTAGAGACCGGTTGCTCCCACAAACCTTGTAGGTCATCAGGTCAGAGAGCAGCATCACGTGTCTCCTGTCAATGCTCATGCCGTGGTTGACCATTGTGTACTGGATCTCATTGATGATGGTGGTCCGGGCAGCTTCAATGCCCAGAGTCTTCTCCACCTATGAAGAGCCAGGAGGAGTGGAAGCAGCCACTTCCGGGGTGCTACCCAACTTCTCCTAAGTCCTCCTCTGCCCCACAGGTTCACAGCAAGTCCCATGCCCTTTCCCAGAAACCGATGTTTCGCTGTAGACCCAGAGCAAGCAGCAAGGTCTGAGGAATGTGCCAGGAGCCAGCTGAGGGTCAGGAGGGGGTGCCAAGGGAGACAGGACGACTGTAAGGGGACCCTGGGTGTGAGCAGTACCTCATACGTGTTATTGGAGGTGGTTCGGGTGCCCTTGACACCGTGGGTGGCCATGACTGCCCGCAGGTTATCGCCCTCCACCAGGAGCTTGTACTTCTCCTTTCCACTCTGCTCGTCGATGTGGATGACAGCTCTGGACACCTCTGGGATGCCCTGTACCACCACCTGGACTCAGAGACACAGAAGGTTTGGGACCCTGTAGTGCCCAGGGCCCCCATCAAGCTGGCAGCCTCAGAAAGCGCAGCAGCAGTGAGAACGGGAAACGCCAAGCCCTGGGTTTGTCACTCGGATCATCCCCGTTTCTCAGTGGTAGTATCAGTGGCATACCAAACCTGACGGTGCCCGTCCGCTGTTTCAGGGATTAGGGATCCCCACAGAAATTCAGGGGTCCATGTCCTTTTGGACCATCAGTTTTATGAGAAGACAGAAAGAAATCTAATAGACACAGTCAGCATGACAGTGCTAGGAAGGAAAGAAAATGGGCTGATTCCTTAGGAGTGTGGCAAAGAAGAGAGGAAGAAATGGGGTGCCATCCTCAGTCTCGGTGGCAGCAGAATCCTTCACTGGCACCTTAATATTCCTGTTAGTGGTCGCTGTGGTTGCCCCCTTTACAAATCTCCTGGCACTTGGCTGGGGAGGGCCCTGAAGGGTGACTGTCGTCTCACCTTGGGGAGATCCTCTTTCAGGAACTGCAGCACATAGTACATGGAGCTCTTGCTGTTTTCTCGGGGGGTGACACACACCACAGCCTCGCCGTGAACAGCCACATCACCCGGCTTCACACGGAGCTTGGACATGCAGATGGAATACCGCACCGTCTCAGCGTTCACCTACAAGGTGACCAGGCATGGGCCAGATGCCCAGGACATTAATGACAGCAGTTTGGAGCCTTTGTTTCCAGGGTTTCCTAGTCTTTTTTCATCATTGTGGCTCTGAAAAGCCTTTTTTAGGTATTATTTTCCTAATCTCTCTCCCCACCATGAAAATTTTATACCAGGGATATATTGTGTATTTGTGTGTTGTATGAATATCTGTGCTTATTCATAAAAAGAGCATAAAGTTTTTTTATAGCCTTCCAACCCCCACCCCACTGAAAAGGCACACTCAGGCCCTGGAGGCATGCCTGGGCTCTAGGGGAGTTGAGGGGAGGCTGGAGGCTGGTGGCTAGGTCAATCTAAAAGCATCAGTGAAGCCTCCCCTTACAGTCTTCACCACAACTGCTACATTCCTTGAGGCTACCCCACCCTTCTGGTAAAAGGGCCGCAGGTGGCCAGAGCCAGGCTACAGAAATCCCCAACCTGGACAACTGGCCACTCAATTTAGGTCATCTTTCACATGGACAACACATGAACTTGGTACTTGAGAGAATGGGATACAGACTGTGTGAAGACTAGTGCAGATTTTAACTACGTGAAAGAAAGAGGAAAGTGCCAGGGAATTACTCAGTTTGTACCCTGAGGAGGGTTGATAATCTTCCAACTGTTAAGCAAGGTTAACCCACCCATCCAAAAACAGGCACCAAGCTAGCCAGGCGCTGCGCTGGTGCTGGGAGCCACAGATGTATAAGACGCAGACAGCCCTATGGTCCTTCCAAACACTGGGAAGACAGACAAGGAGAACAATTATTGCAACACTTTGTCACAGTAAATGGGTATTGTGGCCAGCACAAAATTTCTACTAATTCCCTTTATGTCTGTCAGAGTCTGGCTTAGGAATACAGAACGTGAAGATACAACAGATTCACACAGATCACACAGATCAACCAAAGGAAAGCCTCTATAATGCTTGTGTCTTGCTTCGCCCCTGCCCTGTTTTATCAGTGCCTAGCTCCAGACTAAGAAAGGATGGCTTCTTCTACACATTTAATTACATGACTCACTTCCAGTCTCAGAAGTCTAATCCGTTCCAGGGAGAGTTTGACGAGAATAAAGCAATCATCGGGAAGAAACACTTCTTCAATATACTCTGAAATCTGTAGTGTCAAAAGATCAGAATGTTAATCAATCAGTCACCTTCCCCTTTCCCAAGAGCATTCACTGCTTGCTCTTTTTTTAAAGATATAGAATAGTGTGAACATACTAACCCGTATATCCACTGCAACTGGTTTTATACTTCCTTGCAACACTGATCTAGTTTTTTTGTTATTAAGAGGGATTTCCCTTACCTCTCCCAGGAGGGTTTTCTCAATCCTCCCTTTCACAAGGCGAGCGTAATCCGCATCATCATCCTTGTCCAGCTGTGCCGTGATGATTGGAGTGCTGTGAGAAGTAAAGGAGAAACAATTACAGCACAAGGAGTGAGCTTGCTTGCAGGCCACTGTTAAACCTAACTACTACTGAGAAGCGAGATGTTAAAAGTGACTGAAATTTATTGAGCATTCACTGTGTGTCAAGCACACTTCTTCATACATTCTCATTTAGATTTACTATTTTTGGAGCTCATGAGGCAAACCACTCTACCAGTGAATGAAATGACTTTCAGAAAATTCTTCCTGACCAGGTGAACCTACCTCTTCCTCTTTTGGTCCTAATAAGTAATTAATTTAGTTCTGTTCCCTGAATAAATTGGCCCTTTGTGTATTACAGCTTCCTCCATCCCTTTCTCCCACCCCCACTACCTGGTCTCCAGGATACTTCCAACCACTCCTCCAACCACTATTTAATCAGTTTCCATTTTCACTGACCTGGGTGGTGTCCCTGAACACACACTCCTGGCAGAGATCTGACCAACCGGGAGGAGGCAGGCAGAGTTCCTGCCCCCTGGACGTCTATAGCTGCTGTTCTGGAGCCAAGTGTAGCTCTTTCACTTAATGCTGTCTGTCATTTTTTTAGATTCCAATCATGGGTGAATCATCACTTTGTCATCAAATGCACTGCAATACATCTCTATCTTTTCTGGTCTCAGATCGCCTACAAATCCTATCATGAAATCACAGTCACAGAATATTGCCACAGCCCAAGTGGTAGACACAGCAGTCAGGTTTCACTGGGAATATATCAAAAGTTTGAAATCTACCACAACACACTGCTATCATTTTTCCAGTAGTACTTGTTTTTTTAATGCTTCTTTCATATTACCTGTAGCCATTAAGAACCACTTTTTCAATTTTGACTGTAACTGGTTTCAACCTGTTTTTTTTCTTGAGTGTGTTTTTTTTAAACTATTTTTTTAAAGTTTTTATTTATTTTTAGAGAGAGAAGGGAGGGAGATAGAGACAGAGAGAGAGAGAGAGAAACATCAATGTGTGGTTGCTGGGGGTTATGGCCTGCAACCCAGGCATGTACCCTGGCTGGGAATCGAAACTACGACATTTCGGTTCGCAGCCTGCACTCAATCCACTGAGCTACGCCAGCCAGGGCCTTGAGTGTGGTTTTTAAAAAACTAAAATATGGTTAACACAAGCATGACACTGAAGTTTAAGGTACTGCCCATTTAAACAGAACATCTGACAGAGGATCACTGTTTCTCAAAAAACATGACAGGCAGTTCTGGAAGAAAAGGGAAATGGAGGTAGGGCACCTGATGGCCTTGGAAGCGTTGATGATCTCTTTGATCCGGGGCACACCCAGAGTGATATTCATGGAGGCCACACCTGCAAAGTGGAAAGTCTTCAGGGTCATCTGGGTGCCTGGTTCACCAATGCTCTGGGCACAGAGTGCACCTACCGCAGAACCTGGTTCCATCTGTGCCCTGGAAGAAAAAGATATGAATGAAATGTCCATCAAAACTTCTGGGGAGAGGCTTCTGGTTATGTCTTTTCAACAGAATAAATGCAGGTGCCTTTAGGGTCAGGAAGGAATTGGCAATGAGCCAGGCTGTGCTTGTGATAGAGGGAGAACTGGGCACAGATCACTAACAGGTGCAGACAGGGAGACACAATGCTCAGAGGGGTCCAATAATGAAAGTGAATACTGTGTGGCTTACTTGCGGTCAATATGCAATGCCTGGGCCCAAACGTCTATTGCCTGAAGAACATATAAGAGCCCACTAACAGCCCTGGCTGGTGTAGTTCAGTAGATTGAGTACCAGACTACAAACCAAAGGGTCACCAGATCAATTCTCAGTCAGGGCACATGCCTATGTTGTGGGCCAGGTCCCTAGCTGGGGGCGCTCAAGAGGTAAACACACATTAATGTTTCTCTCCCTCCCTTCCTCTCTCTAAAAATAAATAAAGTCTTAAAAAAAAAAAAAAAGCCCGTTAACAAATGGTACTGAAGGTGGAAACAGCAGGTAGCACCTGCCAAATATATTGGTAGTTTCTCTGCGGGGAGAAAACACTTGGAAGTTTCTTTGTTATTTCCACATCTTGGAGCATCCAGTCTATCTATCTACCCACCGGAATCCCTAGGTAAGAGGTGAGAGAACCTGAGCCCTGGCTGGTGTAGCTCAGTGGATTGAGCGCAGGCTGGGAACTAAAGTGTCCCAGGTTCGATTCCCAGCCAGGGTACATTCCTGGGTTGCAGGCCATAACCCCCAGCAACCGCACATTGATGTTTCTGTTTCTCTCTCTCCCTCTCTCTCTCTCTCTCTCCCTCTCTCTCTCTCTCTCTCTCTCTCTCTCTCTCTCTCTCTCTCTCTCTCTCTCTCCCTCCCTCCCTTCTCTCTCTAAAAATAAATAAAATAAAATCTTAAAAAAAAAAAAAAAAAGAGGTGAGAGAACCTGCTGAAATACTGGCAGTCGATAAGTGGTCCTGGTGCAGAATTTTATGTCCCTGGGGAAACAGGAAGGATATGAGAGAGCCATGTGACTGCCTGGCAGTCTAAGACAATTAGCATCCATACCTCATGTACTTGTCCCTACAGGTCTCCAGAAACTTTTCTATTTGGGTTGGGGTGATCCGGTCCAACTGGTATAACACTTGGGGCTGGAAGAGCAGAACCAAATGCAGAGTTAGGGCTGGCAGCACCTGAAAACACCTTAGCGTCCGTCCCACCTGTTGGGAAAGGCCAGTTACCTCTGTTGTGCCATTATCGTTGATGCCATATTTGTCTCTGGTTTTCTTGATCTTCTCAGAAACTCCCTTAATGAATTTTTTTATTTCCTGAAAGGTGACACAGCAAACATAAGTTGCATATTCCTCAGTAATTCAGATGGCATGATGTTTTAAACTTCAGTAGTATGATGAGCCTATATTTTAGTGACAGCTAAATATATACTTACAAGAGATACACTATGGATCAAATTCCTATTACAAAATGTTTTTGTAAAGAATATACAAAATCATCCACAGCCCAGACGTATCACTCATTGGTTTAGATGTTTCTAAGGCCTTTTTATTCCAATGAGGCTTCAGCCAATGAGGCACGCTCCAGCTACTCTCCTGGCTCTGTTACGTCACCTTGTACAGAACCAGGACCATCCTTTGTACCTGCTGCTTTCTCTTCTGCTCCCCAGCACACTGCACTGCTTACATTCACACAGTTCAGACAGGTAGAAGTGTACCACTTACACTTTTAGTCTCTAGATTAATTTCTAAATTTTTTCTGAAGTCGTTATGATCAATTTAAATACTTACACGCTAAAGCATAGCTTTGCAGACATTACATACATTTCCAACACATGCTTTGAACTTGCCTTCATTGCAAAGGAAACACTCCCCAATCCAGCTTCTCCTTCTCTCCGACTCTCACCTCTGCATCACTCCCTCAGTCTCTCTCCCTTCCCACACACCATTAGAACTTTGGAAGGATTCCTGGAAACCACTCTCAAAGCTAGAAGTGAAACATCAGTTTATTTGCTATTCTTGCTACATAAAATGAAAGAAACAAGAAGAAAAAAGAACAACAAAAAGAACAAAAAAGATGGAAAGAACAGTACTCTAAGCCCCAGGATGGTGACTAAATGGAGCAAGGAAGGTGAGAAGTACATCCAAGGGGGGGTACACATGCCAGGGCTAGAGTCTGTGGACCTGACTCAAGGTTTTCTGGCAACTGCTCAAAGAGAAAAAAAGCCATCTGTTTACAAATGATAGTGTGTCTATGAAACAAAGCCAGCCTCATGGTCACTCCTGGAACCAGAATCAGCCAGCACCTCCTCTCGGGGAGTACTTACAGAAGGGGGTATGGTGTGCTTTAATGAGCTACCCCATCAAAGTCCTGCTCCCTGGGGGAGGTGGGCTCACATATTAGGCGCAATAGGACTTTTAATTTTAATTATTGATTTGAGAAGAGAAACATCGATTTGGTGTTACACTCATTCATACATTTATTGGTTGCTTCTTGTATGTGCCCTGACTGGGGATTGAACGTGCAACCCTGGTGCAATCGCATGATGCTCCCACCAACCGATTCATTACCTGGCCAGGGAATGAATGACTCTTAAGAGTACTTTTCAGATGAGTTGATGTCACATACCATGCAGGAGCAGAAGTCCTTTTTGAGGGTATGGGGAGAGTGGACAGACATTTCCCCTCAGCAGCTCTCTGGGAAATAGAATTTCCCTTGATGACTTTGGATAAATCATGGTGAGAGTAAGCATGAACGGCACTCTGGCCAACTGTAGGCATCCAGCTGCATGGACAGACCAGTGAGTGACCTGGCCCAAGGATGGACTGCATACTGTGACTACAAAGCCTTGAGGTCTTGTTTCTGGATTCTGAGGTTGGTTAAGGGGCCCCCCAAAACACCAGCATGCCCTGCCCCAAGTCCCCTCAGTTAATATCACATAGCTGAAAACACCTAGTTTTGTTTGAAACAGGTTTTTTTTTTTTTAAGAGCAGACTGAGGAGAAAGGAGCACGGCCAGGTGTCTTCAGAGTCCTTCCCAGTGCTGGTTCGCCTCACTCACTCATTTGAGCCTAGGGTGAGATGGGACCTTGGCTTTGCCTCTGTGGGGGCACTGGGTGTATCCAGGTAAATATGATGGTGTAGAAGCCTTGGGTGAATGGAAACCCTGCTGAAGCCTGGTGGCAGCTGCCATCACACCTTCCTTGGCCTCCCTGCCTGGCTGTCCCCGAGTTGATCCTACTATCCATGCTGCTGAGGTGGTCCTTGAGGTGGAAGTCTGTGCATTTGTCTAATCTTTGTGGAATGGCAGTTGGGGGTGGGATTGAGGGCCCATCCTTAGAGCCCAGGACACTTTCTGAAGAGCCATGTTGGCTGGTGGCCAGTCTCAGTCTGGAAATGCAATAGCCCTTCAGAGTTAGGGAGTACCTGCCCCTCTAGCTGTGACCCAAAAGTATCAACGTGAGGAGGGAAATAGGTTTCCTAAAACCTACTTTATAGCACCCATGAACAGCCTGACTACATGATCCCAAAGGGCATTAAATGACTACTCTGTTCCCAATCTCTTTATAATGAAGCTACTGGGTGTCCAATAGGAAAAGCTTGCACTATATTGTTTCCTTTTTTTCACTTATATTAAGTGCCTTATTGACAACAAAAATGCTGTAGAAGGATGTCTTGATGTGAAAGGGGCTATGCTCATTCCAAGGCAAGGCATCAGGAATTTTAATGTAGCTAGCGGAGCAACTTCAGATGTTCTTAATAATAAAAGATGTTTTTCCAAAAATAGAAGGAGAAAATCATGCTTTACTGGGAGCTGAAATTTCTATCCAGGCTGTTTGATTTTACTTTGGGTATTGGTATTAATGCTTATTTTCCCTTGAAAGCAGGTAAGGAGAAATGGGTATATAACAGAAAACAGTATTTGATGCTTTGTTTGAGCCAGGCGGCAGAGAGGCTGAACTTTGCTACTGTCTTGCTCCCTTGATTAAAAGCTTAGCAGAGCTGTCAGTGGTGTAGCTCAGTGGATTGAGTGCTGGCCTGAGAACTAGAGGGTTGCTGGTTCGAATCCCGGTCAGGGAATATGCCTGGGCTGTAGGCTTGGACCTGGGTGCAGGTGTGGGAGAGGCAACCACGCACTGATGTTTCTCTCTCTCCTTCTCCCTCCCTCCCCCTCTCCTCTATAAAAATAAAGTAAATAAAAATCTTAAAAAAAAAAAAAGCTCAGTAGAAATAAACCAGAGGTTCACTTTCACAAAAATAAACACTGTAAGGTACCTATAGAAAGCTTAACATGTAGTAACCCAGTTCTATCCTAACACTGCAAAAATAAACCTCTTTAGCCTCCCACTGACTGCCTGGCAATTCCTGTTACTACCTTTTCTGAAAATAAACTAGTCCGTGGCTCATGGGCCTTTCTCTGGCAGTGACTGCACAGCTCAGTGAGCCCTCCCTCTGAGGGGGCATGGCACTAGTCCCAGCACTCACAGCAGAGACCACTAAGGGGCTAAAGGCAATCATGCTTTGCCAAGGTGACAGGCCTCTTCATGAGGTCAGATGCTTTCTCCAAAGTCTGCTCTTCGGATAGGGGTTTCAGCAATGTCGTCTTTACCCACTATGAATTTCAGTCTATATCCTACAATCTCAGGTGGACAAGGGGCTTACCTGTGGAGTCCATCACACCTTGGCTACCCCTTGTTCATGAACATGGCCTTTTCATGCCACACTGCCTTCTTCTCATTGAGAAAGTGTGGAGATACATTCAGCCATTGTTGTACACACAAAGGACTTTTATTAGTTTGCAAGAACTTGAAAATTCTCAAGGGACTCTTTTTAAAGAGAAACTCTCTAGGCTTACTTACTAATTACAAGTTTGAGAGTGCATTTGTAGATACAGTCCATTATTGAAAACCAGAGAAGGAAATTAGAGCTGGAGAGGGCGGTGGAGCAATCTCTTCTGGAGTGACTCTGCCTAACAGTGGGAATATTCAAAGGCAGGAATACTCTCTGCTGCTTCATTTTTTGCTATATATTACTCAGTGAAAAAGATTCTTTCATATTGCTCACTTCCTCCCCCAGCCTATTTGTCTAGGTGTCGTCGTATCCTTCTAGACGAGCTCCTGAAAGCCCTCTTGGCTCAGGTGCTGCCATTTGATCTTCAGGTGTTAAAGGCTGCCCCACCTGTTGGCGCAGGGAAACCGGAACGAGAGCCTATGGCTGAGCAGATCAGGGGATTTTCATTTGTGAGGGGCTTTGCACACATAGGAGTAGAGAGGACACACCTAAAACCATCCCCGAGCTTAGGTGCTAGACATGTGATCTCTCAGCTGCCACCCACAGGGAACTGCTTCTAGTGGCTTTCCTGAAAGAAATGACTTTCCTTACACAAAAGTTAGATATTCTGGAGGTTAAAAAACAAAAAAGCTTATTTTGCAGAAATGGAAACTGAAATAAATGACTAAGAATTCAGCTGCATCAACCCATGCATACTACAGAGAACTAACAACATGGCAAATGGCAGGCAATTAATCACACGATTAACCAGCAGTTAAATCCTCACACTTAATGCCACAGCAGTCTGTGAACACAGGCATAACCTCTGGCAGGGCCAGGGCTTGACGCCATTTAGGAGCTGCCTCTGCTCTGGCACAAAGCAGAGCCAGAGAACATTTCCAAGGTTCAGACACATCAATCTGGCCAGTGGATTCTGAACCCTCTTGGCAAAACTGAATTCATCAGATTGTGAGCTTACTGAAGGGCAAGGACATGTTTAGTTATCTTTGTGTCCCGAGGATCTGCACAGTGTGTGACACAGTGACAGCTGAACAAGTGCTTGCTGACTAAATAAACACTGCAGGTCAGAAGGTCACCCATTAAACCCTGTCAAAGGCAAGAAAGGCACCAGTCCGAAGTGATGCACAGGGAAGCCGTGTTTGCCAGCACCGGGATGGAAGTCTGTTGTCTCTGGCGCTGGCAAACAGCTGGGGCACTGCTAGAGCTCACTCCTTCACACTCAGCAGTCAGCATGCTAAGTGCATTACCTCGTTATACTTCTCATAGCCTGTCTCAGTTAAGGTCTTCAAGGGTAAACAGAGAAATAAATACGTAAATATAATTATGCAGAAAACAAAGTCACAATTCTAATTTCTTAGTTAAAAAACTATTGAAAAAAATCAAACAAAGGTGCACAGCCTAACCCCACTCTTGATTTCAAACATATTAAAATCTGTAAGATTTAAAAAAAAATCTGTAAGATTCTCTTTTTCACTTTTCACACCTCAACATATGAAAGGAAGTGAAGAGCTTCCTTAACCAAAGCATTCTTAAAGTTTCAATTTGTGGTTTTTAGTTTTGATATACTGAAAGGGATTCATTCCAGCTGATTTTTTTGCTGCATCTGAATCACCAATCAGTACACAAAGGAAGCCACACTGATTTCTGTATCCTTTTGCTTTGGTCATAACCACAATATAAATAGGAAGGAGCTGTTTGAGCAGATCAGTGGCATTAAAAAACAAAAACAAAGAAAACCTTAAGGGGACATCAAGGTAACAAGTCCCCAGAAGGAAAAAGAAGGTGGGCTCCATAGATTTCTAATCCACACTGCAGTAGGAGAAAGAACAATTTAAAATGAAAGGTACTAGAACAACTCTACTAATATAAATCATTGGGATTCAGAATGATGTAGGGAAGAAGCACTGGTCCACAGGATAAGAAAGTGACTGTAGGGTGTTGATAATAGGGGTAGGGTTAAAAAAAATTAGTTCTCTAGCTAAAGCATTTTTCTTCTAGTGTAAAAACACCTGTGTAAGAGCCATAAACTAAGAAAGACATAAGATAAATTCTTCATGTTGGCTGTTAGATTTTGCCGAGGCCATTCTTGAATTTTTTAACAAAGAAACACTCTTACATAAACCCCCCAGCTTAAAAATTCATCTGCTGGCACTCGGCAAACAATTTTGTGACAGCCAAGTTGGGTGTGATCAGCATTGGAAAGCTTACCTGCAGGAAGCTGTCCTGGCAGCAGAGGAACTCATTCTTCTTCATGATCGACTCAGTGGTCAGGATCAGTTCGTTTTTACTGAGAGCAGGCTCACTCTGACACGGGAAGACTGCCTCAAGTATTAAAAGGAAATGGTGTGGCATGTGAGGGCAATGGAGAAGGGGCTGATATTAAATGCGAGAATTTACAAGAGACAGAACAACTTTACTCAGAGGGATCTTTTTAGCAACCTGTGATGTTTTTTTCCCATTCAAAACAAATTTCAGACTCTACCTTTAATATGAAGGTGAAAACAGGGCAAACTGATATTCTACCTTATACAAAGACTTCTGGGATAGTCAGTGGATATTGTTCCATTACTTCCTAAACTTTACCCCAACTCAGATTTGCATTAAAAATACAAACTTGCCCTGGCTGGTGTGGCTCTGGGGACTGCGTGCTGGCCTGTGAACCAAAGGGCTGTCGGTTTGATTCCCAGTCAGGGCACAAGCCTGGGTTGTGGGCCAGGTCCCCAGGTTAGGGTGCACCAGAGGCAACCAATTGATTTATCTCTTGCACATTGATACTTCTCTCCCTCTCTTCCCCCAACTCTAAAAATAAATCCATAAATAAAACTTAAAAAAAAAAAGATTGTTAGGGGGAAGAGGGTATTAGGGACTTAATGGTAATGGAAAAAAAGGACAATAAAGACTAAATTAAAAAATACAAATTGTTTTTTTTAAAAAAAACCCAAATATTTTAAGAATGAAAATATTCCTCCACCCTCAAGCTCATGGAATTTCCCCGAAGTTGTAATGGCTCCTTACCATCCTAATGCACAGGCAGACCATTAGATATTTGAGCTCTCCTACCTGGATGGCTTGTCTCTACTATAAACAACACTGGGAAAATATTCTTGGCACATTTAGATAATTTCTGTAGGGCAGATTCCTGTGAGTGGAACTATGGGGTCAAAATGCACCCACATTTAAATTCAGATCAGTATTGTCAAACTACCTCCCAAAATGATTGTTCTCAATTATACCCCCAGTTAAAATATGTGAAATGTGCCTGCTTTTCAACACCCATGGTCAGTGTTATAACACTGGCCACTACTGCACAGAAACCAAAGGTCTCTTTTCCTATTGGCATCTGGGTACTAAATTTTTAAACTGAGAAAATATCTTTCCTTTATGTTTGGGAAAATTATGCAGAATAACACAAAAAGAAAAGTACTAAGCCAGTAGTTGGACACGATTGAACATTAACTGTGTGTGATTTTTCCAAAGGGTACCTCCATTCTAAAGAAATGTCCTCCAAAACACTACCCGATATAATACTAAATCTTACTTTGATGTTGTCCAGAACCCTTTTAAACTCCAAGGGTTCATCTTTTCCTTCCATAGCTGCAGGATCTAAGCCATCTCCTCCATAAATGAACTGTATAATATCACCCGTAGAGCTTCGGACTGTCAAATCATACTGTGAACAAAGATCTTCGAGGGACTTCACAAGCCTTCTCTAAAGGGGAAAAAAAAAAAAAACAGAGGGAAAAAAGCTCACCTGCTTTGGGAAGACTAGTCACATGTGCAGAGGATGAGATGTGCAACTCTTAAGTTTCAAGGTTACTAGCCCATTAATCAGATAAACACATTTTATAAGGAATTCCTTAAAAAAAATTCCCCTGACCCCAAGAACAAGGCCAAGAGTGTCTCACTAGCTGGTCCAGTGGGATTTATAATATGCCTCAAGCTCCAGCACTTTAGTGTTTCAGAATACATGCAATTTAAACCCCATCAACTCCAAATGGTATATGCAAACACTGTTTTCCTAGCCTGCTTTGCCTTCCCTTTCTTTTTCCCTAAGGTATAAATTAATGCAATGGCTTTGTATTTCTAAACACAACTTAATCTAGGACCCCTGTGGACTTCCATATGAATTACAGAGGATCAGGTGCAGACCCTCTTCTGGGACAGACGGGAAAGAAGAGAGAACAGGGAAGGCATTGTGCTTGAACCAGCAGGCAGCAGCCATTTCTCAAATCTGCTTAGGGAAAACCTCCCACTGGCAGAACACACTCCAGCCAGCAATGTGACAGTGGCCCAGTGAATTAAAGAGAAATAAAGCTTCTTCCAGGCAACTTCAAAACAAAAATCCCTCATGCCAAAACTAATTTGTTCTAGGTTAACACACTGCTCTGGGAAAGTCATATTCTACTCTAAAAGATAAAGACAAAAGAATAAAGTCAAAAGACATTCTGGCAACAGTGGTAAAGGCATTTCAGTCTGTTGGGTTTTTGACAAAAGCAGCACACTCCAAAACTGAAGGGGAATTTCCCATCAGGAGATGATTGAAAGGGAAGTATCAGTAAGGACACATGAGGTACAAAAGTGGTTACAGAAAGAGGTGTCTATTGCCCCAAGTCCATGTTCACCCTCATCAACCTTGTTTGTTCTGGTCCACTCAATTACATCTCTTGATTATCAATCCTGGTTTCCCAGTTTACAAAGAGCCATGTTTCTCAAACTGGGATCCACAGTGAGAAGAGGAGACAACAAGCTACAGCAAGTTCATGGCCCAGCAACTTGAAGTTTTAACTTTACCCAGTGTTGTAAGTAGGTAAAAACATTAACCTGCCCCGCCCGCACCTGCATATTATGGAGTACACAGAGCAGAACTAAAAATTAGATCGAAAAGAAGTCCTCTCCTTGTGGTCTTATGGAAGAGCAAAGTAGGAATGTGTTCCCACACCTCTGTCATTAGGGTACCTTTGTGGAAGCCTGAGAAGCACAGTCGCAGGAAACCCTCTGGTTTGGCCTTATCTACCTGAGCCTATTATCTTAGCACTGTACACACAGTGGAGAGCCTTCCCTCATGTGGCGGGCACCAGAATAGGTTCTTGGAGTCTATCAGAATGATACTAATAATGAGTTACACAATAGTTCAAAGTGAGAAGCAGAGTCTGTTCAATGAACAGGAGGCACGAGCTGTTACGCCCATTATCGTGCATTAGGAAACAGGCTCCGTGAGGTTCAGCAGTGTGTCCCAGGATGCACCTCCAGTCCCCATGCTCCTCTCACGGAGCCCTGGTCTGTGTGGATCTGGCCTGGTCTTGATCGTTCGAGGAACATACGATCTGGAACATTAACACTACCCTTTTTGCTGTTTAATTCTAGGGCACCTATGTTTCTTAAGTTTTCCTTTTAAATATCAAGATAGGATAAATTTTAGCTCATGCACAAAATATGTAAACACTCAGCAGTCAAAATCCACAGAGAGACCTGTCTACTCTGTTGCTAATGGTCTACATTCCTTTAAATTACCTGCATGTATCCTGTTTCAGCTGTCTTTACGGCTGTGTCAACTAGACCTTCCCGGCCAGCCATTGTGTGGAAGAAAAACTCGGTTGGTGTCAAACCAGAATAAAAGCTATTAGCCACAAAGCCTTTGGCAGCTGGAAGCTAAAGAAAGGTAGGGAAAAAAAAAAAGAAAAATCAAACAACGACAAAAAGTTCAAGGTCCACTATTCCAAAACCCATTCAAATCAGAAAATGCCACACCTTCAAGCTATAAACACCTGGCCAATGTACTTTCACAATGCGACAGGCTTTATATACCCTTTCCTAAAGGAGAAATAATTTGGCACAACCCAGCCTTACCAAAGACAAGGAGGGTGAGGCCCAGCCAGAGTTTGTGCTGGTGCTAGTGGCAGGCAAGTGACTCGGGAGAGGGAAACTAAAGCCTGGGTTGCAACTGATTCGGTCTCCAGAGGGCGCTGCCTGACTGCAGTGGCCTGTTCCCTGGGAAATAATGATTCCCCTACAGACAAGCCTTCCTGTGGGCCCGGCCTGCCCACCTCCCAAACACAACCTCATGTTGCTAATGTTTATGGAGTTGCATTATGGGGTGCTGAAAATGCCCTAAAATTAGACTATGGTGGTGATCGCACAACTATCTGAATATACAAGTCACTGAATGGGTATCCTTTGCAGGGGTGACTGACATATGAAATGTATTTTAGTAACACCATAAAAATACACAAATATACAAAACACTATGTAAAATGGCCAAATGGGCTTTGATTGATAGGTCTTTGTCCCTTAGAGGACAATCTGGATGAACAGACCAACTTCCTCCTTCCTTATTTTGTTTAAGGGGCAGCTGCTTTACTCACAGACATTTCTAGGCAAGCACAGACTTCCTGGAGTCTAATCTAGCACTGGTCCAGGGACTAAGCAGTCTGGATGCCCTGGCCTCTCCTCTGAGTCAGGTTGCCTTACAACTGTGAGCCTGACAAGCACGGGCAGGCACCATTCCAGTGATCACTTATCTGCCTGACCTCTAGTGAATTCTGATCTTGGACAGAGGATCTGAACTGCTCCTGGGGCTACCTGATACAGATAGTCCACATATCTGGGAGGGGATGGACATTTGTGCCTTAATAGGAACAACAGCTGACTCCAAAGCCAGAATTTACTAAGTGACCAAATCTACTTTAAGTTCCTTAACTACAGATTTAATACTTGTCTGCTCTGAATCCCAAAACAACCTTGGCACAGGTTTGTCTCTTTCTGCTTACACTAATGCCCAAACCACAAAGGTTAATAAAATTCAGAAGTCATTTTCAAGCGGAGTTTGAAAATTCCAGAGAGAACCTGAAATTTCCTGGTTGGTTGAGTGTGGTTTACACGATCACTATTTTAAAATCCTTATACTTTTATATCAGTGCCCCCAAAACAAGCATACTGATTGTGTGTGTGTGTGTGTATGTAGTAAGTAAAGTACTGGTTTGATTACTGGAGTTGGATGGGGAACTGAAATCTTCCTCCTCAGAGAGAAAATATACAAGGGGGCATTGTCCAAGTTTTATAGCTCTGAGTTTAACAAGGCTCCTGTCCATGACTCAGTTTGGACTGAAGAGGGAATAACAACCCTGAGCAGCGCCCACCCTCATACAACACCTTGTGGAGTCGCTTGGTTGGCAGCCACAGAGCTTCAGTTACTTTCTTCTGCACTGCTGATGGCTGTCCTTCAAAGTTCTGCCTGATCCACTACTGCTTACCTTTGAGTGTTTTTCAAAGTGAGGCAAGGACCTGTTTTCAAAGCCATCTGGAACTCGGGAGCCACTGATGGCTTGCTGTCCCACACAGGCAATCATCTGTGATATGTTAATGAAGGAACCTGGGGAAGGAGGTCAGGCATGTAATATTCATTTACTGAAATAACATTAATTCAAGTGAAAGCAGATCTGTGGGATAAAACAGGACCATAACACAGCACAGCCCCTTCTCCTCGAAAAGTTCATAATCTAGAGTAGAGCTATCAGTAATGCAGGAAAAGGAGAGCAAGCCAGCACTTCAGGGCCAGAGGTAACACCTGCAAGTGCATCTTCAAGAAGCAACCAGGTTCAACTTTTGGAGGACATTATAAATGAGACACAAAAAGGGGGGGGGGGTGGCTTCCAAAGCGTGTGGAAGCATGGGAAGCAAAGACATAGGAATGGAAATATGTGGGGTAAGTACCAGGAGTAAAAGTAGAATATTAAGGTGAGAGGAAGCAAAGGTCAAAGGCTGGACTTCATCTATAAAGCACGCACAGAAATAAGAGAAGTATGGAGGTTTTGGATTTGAGCACAATATCACGAAACCTAATGCTTTAAGGTAAATATGAAATTAAAGCATTTTGCCCCATCACTAAATACTGTATATTATTTTAAAATTCCCTAGCTTTTCGAAAAAGTTGTTTTATATCTGCAATGGTGTTGCAGAAACAATAAATGTGTTAATATAAATTTAAAAAAGTTGATTTAAAGTTGCTCAAAATATCTTGAAACTCAGAAACCCACACACATTACCAACAAGCTCTTCTAGAAGAGTTAAACTCCCCCAAATGCACATAATTCTTTTTGTATACACAGCTGACCCCTGAACAACAGAAGGGTGAAGTGAAGGACACTGGCTGCCTGCACAGAAATCCACAAATAACTTAAGTCAGCCCTCCAGATATGTGGATTCCCAACTGTGGATCGAAAATACAGTTTATTTAAAAAAAAAATCACTGTGTAAGTGAACCCACGCAGTTCAAACCTATGTTGGTCAAGGTTATCTGCACATGGGTTAAAAAGATATGCTTTATACACAAAAGGTCTATTTGAAGTCATAATTCTTCCATTTTCCAGAACCACACCAGCCTGCCCACACGGAGAATGTGATGATGGCAGCAGTCAGAGAGCACACGCACCTTTGGAGCCGCACAGAGCCATGGTGAGAGGGCTGTTGCTCTTGTCCAGCTCCCGGAGGCAGGCACTGCCGGCGTGATCACGGATCACCGACAGCTCCTTTAGGATCAGAGCCTGGTGGGAGAAAGGGAGATGTGTGGTGGAGCCACCTCACTGGCTCTGCTGACCACCAATGTACAATCCGACATTTATGGAAATTTGAAAAAATTTAAGCAAGATGTCAGACTTCCAAAAGATAAAGGTTTCAGAGCCTCAGAAGATCAGGACACCCTATATACACAGACAAGGTTCCAAAATCAGTGTGTAAGGTAAAAATGATTAGCAACAAAACCTTGAACAATCCTTTCAGTAGCAATAAAGTAGACCGTACATGGTTTTGTGTACAGGAATCTTACCTATACAATAAATATCTGCATCTATATTACTGTATATACACACACGCGCCTAAATAAATGTATAAAGTGTAAGATAATACTTGTACTATTTATAAAATTTGTCTATTTTTTTCTTGCCAAGAATACAACTGAATTCCCACGTTTACCATGTGATGAGGTGACTCTACAGGAATATTCTAGTCCATGAGCTCATCCAGATTGTTATTCCTCAACTCACAACTTAGCATGTTGAATCACTTAGGAGTCATGGTTCCATTAAAAATGGGTGCTGCTGAGCCTCAAGTAATTTTCTAGGTGACAAACATGCATTTCTTTCCCTCTCTCTCTTTAACACTTAAATGAGATTAAGGCTGAGCTAATAAGGGTGAGTACCTTACACAACTTTTTAAAACATTCTGTTCATCAGAAAATTTCTTACTGCTTAACCAGCCTTCCTTCCCTACTTAGGCGAGTTAAAGCCCTGAGCCCAGGCTACAGGGTTGGCAGAAGGGAGCCATGCAAGCCAGGTGCAGTCAGATTCCTGACCCTGGCTGCTTCAGAGAAAAGGCAGGGCTCTCCAGGGATGGTGGTGATTCTGACTCCGGCATGTGCTGGTCCTGTTGGCAGCTAACCTAGTTTCACATGTGAGGGAGTGCGACAGCAGTCTGGTGTATGACTCTCGACATGAACTTTCCATCTTCTGTATCCAAGTATCTTTCAAAGACCACCCATTTAAACAGCTGCAGTGCTAGCCTCCAGTCAAAGGACGTCAGAAATAGAAAGGGCAGAAGCACTAAGCACCAGCTCCAGAAGGGGCCTAAGCATGATGTCAGAACAAGAACAGGCCCGTGTGGCCAAATGAACAGATAGGGCTGTGTCTTCACTACTTAGAATGTAGAGAAAGGGATGTAAGGGGCCTGATCGAAGGCCTTCTCCTCATTAAACAAATGAGAACATGCACAAGCAGTGCCAGGCCAAGATGAGGCTGAAGCATGTTTATTTCCCACTCCCCTCTGCTACCTTCTCTTCATCCTGTGAGCATGAAGTGGTTGAACTAACCGACCCAAAGAGCCAGACTCACCTCCAAAGTCTCCTCAGCAGTGCAGCCAGGCTGCTGCTGCAGCTTGCCTGTGTTTAGGGCTTCAATGTACTCATCACATTTTTTGTAGCCAGCATTCAGTAACTCATACTTGGCCTTTAGCAACCCTTGGCCAGGTGTGACGTCACCAATCCCAATCGAGAATCCACGGTTTGCTGTAGAATAGTTGGCAGGTAAAGCAGGAAGAGAGAGTCATAGATGTCAGTAAACCTACTATGTAGAGATAAGTTTATAACTTCAGGGAATCTGTTATAATTTAATTAAATTAAAACAGCCCTGGCCCAGTAGCTCAGTTAGTGTCATTTCAATGCACCAAAGTTATGGGATCAATCCCCTGTCTGGGCACATATAAGAATCAACAAATGATCACATGGATGGGTGGAACAACAAATCGATGCTTCTCTTTCTCTCAATAAAAAACAACAAAAAACTTGTGTCAGTGTCTAGGGAGTTACACAATCATGACTGGGACGCACTAACTCCTCTCAGAGACCTTACAACTTAGTGGGGAGCACAGTGATGTCCTAACTGTAATATAAAGCAGACTGCCATTAAACACTAGAGAGCGACCCGAGAAAGCTATGGAAAGTGAGTCATCTGACTTCTGGTTCTAAGACAGAAGCATAAGGGCTGAGATTCTGCCCCACACTCCCAAGTCCTGGTTTCTCTTTCCAGAAATCATTCCAAAACAGAGAGAATAAGAAACAAATGTAAACTTCACCTTGACAGAAGTCTACACCATCAATAATCTGCACCCTAATATATGTAAAAGTGAGCAGATGAGAGGTGGGGAATAACATGCCTAAAAGTGGCTATAGAACTGAGGGCCAATGGAAAGGCTCAGAAACTAGACCACCAGGTTCCGCAGATGCTAGAGAGAGTGTATGTGCTGGAAACAGAGAAACCCAGTGTAAAGTCTGCATAAAATACAGGCTCCTGGGCCTAACCCCTGTGGGAGATGAGAGCTTAGTACACCAAAGATGGAAGGAGAAAGACTCTGGATCAGGGGTGGTAGGTGCAGACAGGTGGGGATGACTTAAAACCAGGTACTGAGGGAAAGTCTTCATATTCCATGGCTACAAAACTCCTTAGCCCTTTTCCCTGTTCAGTTCCCAGAATCCCGGCAGCCAGGTCTTTATCCTTGGGAAAGAGGCTGGGATTGAAAAATGTCTCTGGAGAAAACATTACTAATAGGGTATTAGGCAGGTCCTCAATACAAAAACTGGTTTCCAGCTCAATTAAGAGACCCAGAGGCCCATCAGACAATCAGCTCTGTTTCCAATCAATGTTTTAGGGCCTTACTCATAAACTATGAATGACGGCCAGGGAATTAGATTATTTGAGCAAAGTTTCTACCATGAAAGACAGAAAACAACAAACACAAAGAAAAAAGAAACCTAAAGACTATTCAGGAGGCAAATAAAACTGAGTAGTATTCTCTCAGAGTGACAGAGAAGATATATCTGGGGAGCAAAAACAGGAAGTCTTAAGAAAAAGGAAAAGGAACAAATTAACTACCTGTGGATGAAAACAGTAGGTGGAAATTAAATACATAACAGTAAAAAGGACAAGGAGAAGATAAAATCAGAGAATCAATACAGGAGCTTTAGTTGGCAATTAACAGAAATTCCAAAAAGAAAGAACAAAGGAAATAAAGGAGAAAATTATCAGAAAAATAATAAAGGAAAATTTCCAAGAGTGAGGGACACACAGTTACAGATTAAGAGAGTTTACAGAGTGCTCAGCACAATGAATTTTAAATCACCCATGCCAAAGCTGTATCACTGAACTTTCATAATGCCCAAAAAAGAGGATTCTTAAAGCTTCCAGAATAAAATGAAAATTCAAATACAAAAACTTGGGAATAAGAATGCCATTAAACACTAGAGAGCATTATTAAACATTTTAATAACAACCCTGAAAGCTAGAATAGAGCAATAACTTCAGAAATCTGAGGGAAAATAGTTTCCAATTGAAAATTCTATATCCAGCCAAATAATCAAGTGTAAGAGTAGACCTAAAGATGTTTTTGAGCAGCAAAATTGCTTGAACCGTGGTACGCTCAAAACATGAGAAAACAAAGAAAATGGAATAGTGCAGAATACAGGAAAACATTTGAGTATCTGGTAGGGCTGAAGGGTTGAATCCTGGAAGGCTCAGAGGGCTACTGTGAGTGGAACCTTGGAAGCAGCCAATGAAAGGTCCTTCATGTAGTAAAACCTTATCTGGTAGGCAACAGGGAGCCACTATAGATTTTGAGAGAATATTGAAAAGCAAATTCAAATCTGCAACAAAATCAGTCAGTGTATCACATTAATTCCATTAAGAAAAGCATAAGTGTTTAGGTTGGATTAAGTACCCTTTTCTCTGTGTATGTGTGTGGGATGGGAAGAGGAGGATGAAACAATAGCAGAAGTCCCTAAAAGCACAATAAATACAGCAATAAGACGAGGATGCTGAGATACTCACAGAGGTAGACAGGCGCCAGCCTGGCAAGCCGTGACATGGCATCGGCAGCTTCATTCTGGCCCCAGTCTCGCAGCAGAATGTAGAAAATATTATTCTTAGACCCTGATCCCAGTGTTCCTTTGTCCATGCTACCAGTCATCAACTCACTGTTCTGGATAGTAACGTCTGGGAGGATAATAATGATCATGCATTTGAACAAACAATTAATATGCTTTGCTTCATTCCAAAAAGAATTTGAGGTAGTTGAGAAAGTTTATTCCCAAATTGAAAGTTAAAGCAAACAGAAATTCTCCTTAAAATTTTTCTTTGGTTGTGGGGAAGGGGGGAAATCTAGAGACTTTTAAAAAGCATGAAAGGCCCTGTCAGTTACCTTATAGTCCTAACTCTGAAATATACTATTTGACTCTTTCTCTTCATCTGTGAACTGTAAATGACAGTATCAAGCACTTGCCATCTTTATGTCATGGGGATATTTTGGGCATCAATGAAATCATGTATGGCAAAGTGCTTTGTAACCATGGTGGAAAAGCACTATGTTATTCACCTAAGATATTGAAAACTAACAGTGGCACCATCATGAAGAGCCTATTCAACAGAAAAATGAAATTCTTTTCTAGAAAGAAATGAAACACAATTTAAAACAATAAACCAAAATATTTACATATCCAAGAAGTATATATTCAAAGGAAAGGTTACAAACTTGAGAGAAATCAATGCCCTTCAAACATTTCATCTTCATTATGACAGTAGAAACCTTGGCCTTCGGAGAGACTCTAGAGTTTATTCCTTCATTTAGGGTTCTACAGATCTTGTCACAAGGCCTTGCTAGCCAAGCCCATTCTTGTTAGCAGACTGGGGTGAACTAAGGAGCTCATGCTGGAAAGTCAATGCTGGCTCAATGGCACTGGCCTCATTCCAAAAAGAACCTGCCTCATTCTGTGGAACATAATGTGGGTTGAATTAGCCTAGATGAATCTGTTGGCTTGCACTTAAATACTCATTGTTACACCTGACCTTTGGGTTGTCAGAAAATTCAATGACCAGGTAAAAACAATCAGTCTTTTTTGTTATACTTTTTAGTCATACTTTTAGTCAATGAATGCATTTTTGCACATAAAATAATAAATTATATGCTTTAAGTAATGAGGTCCACATTGATGAAAAAAAAATTGCCCCCAAAACAAAAAAAGGCAGAATAAAAGAAATTGCATTAAATGACAGAAACTAAACAATGTCATCCAAATAAGTTTAATTAAAAAACACAAAATGAAAAAAAAGACAGAACCTAGTCACTTAAGACACAATACATGCAAAGAAGAACATACTAATCACTAGATCGTGTGTCTACAGGATCTCTACATTCTGGAGAAATGGAAAATCACATCTGAGAGGAGAAACACCAGCTACATTTCCCTGAAGAATAAACCTCCTGTCTAAGTCTAAGGCCTTAGAGAAACATCAAATTTGCTCGCTAGGTGAACTTAAGTTATTGGTTACTTGCTGTTCTGACCTCCTTCCCCTCTTCTGTTGTTTTAACTCACAGGAATCATTGACACAGAGATCTTCTCCTTTGCCACAGTACTGCTTGCCCTTGGTTCGAAGGTTGGCCCTCACTGGACTGTCATCACTAGGTCTGAGGATGACACTGAAGATCTGCTTTCCTGTCCACAGGGTGACAGGCTGAAAGAGGAAAGGAAGCCAGAGCATCAACTGGCCAAGTCTGGTCTCAACCCCTTTCACACAAATAAGGCAGTACTATAGCAATCACACGCAAACCCAGCACTGCATGGGTACGTCTATATGGGCAGATGGGGGTGGATGAATGGACACACACACACACACACACACACACACACACAGTTTCCTGCACAAACCTTTAATATTGTAGGAGGTGGGAGGCGAACTTTAATTTTCTCATCCTTGCCAACCAATATTGAAGCAATGATTTGGCAAGCTTTGGCTCGGTCAAAGAAAGTGTCCTTAAGAGTGAGGAGATAGGCACCTAAAAATGTTAAGAAACACACACACATAAAAGGAATGAAACCATGAGAAAATCACATTTCAATTTTATTTCATTTTATTTATTTACATTTAAAGAAAGGGAAAGGGAAAGAGAGGGAGAGAAACATCAATGTGTGGTTGCCTCCTGCTTTCCCCCTACTGGCGTCCTGGCCCTCAACCCAGATGTGTGCCCTGACTGCAAATCCAACCCTTTGGTTTGCAGGCTGGCACTCAACCCACTGAGCCATACTAGCCAAGGTATATTTCAATTTTAAAATAAATATGTAAGATTACTAAAAAAGTGACAATACATATAGCTGCTTATTGGCTCTCTCTCCAACTAGGACTAAGCTCCACAAGTAAAAGGACTTTGATTTACTCACTGCTGTATCCCCAGTGCTTAAAAAAAGCCCTGGTCTACAGTGGAAGTTCAATAAATGCTTGTTGATTCAATGAATATTCAACCAATACAAAACATCTCAAGTAGGTTCACAGTTAAACTTAGTAAACAAGCAATAGAATTAAACACAGGCAATAAACCAGCCTTTCAAGTTTTCACATAAAAGCATTGCGAATGAGAATCAGTGTCCCACAGTCTCCTTTCAAGTGAACCTCACAAACCCACCTGTTAGAAAATCCTGAATAGCAGCAATTAGTGGTTCTCCATTCCTTGGAGTTACAAGATTTGCTTTAGTCTAAAAGAAAAATGAAAACAGTAAATTAGCCCTTCTTGGAGGCATGATGCAGTCCAAAGATCTGCACTCCAAGGCTGAGAAATGGAAGCCAAAGGCCTTAATTCCAGCTTTGAGACTAATTTCCATTTTCTTTATCTATTGAGGGGAGAGAAGAAATACCAGCAAGACATACCTCAGAGGTTCCTACTAGCACAAAAATAAAAAACTGAGTGAAGTTGTTTGGATTCTTGTAAAGAGCTCTACTGTCCATCCAAGACTACTGTTACTAATAAATATACTTCTCCAAAAAAAAAAATCTTCACATCTATGAGTGAACAGTACTGTTCTCTTTCTCATAAGACAGGCATTACATTCTAACAACAAATAATTCAATAATAGCATTTAACTAAAATTTAGTGAGTGCACATTGGGTAGAAAAGGACGCTAGCTGTTCAATGCACAGGTAAATTTAAAGGAGGTTCTGTGTGTCAGAGTGCATCTGCTCAGCTCTTGATGTGGAGGTGCTCGTGTGCACTTGTGGGTGGGTACCCTGGGCCTCCTCACCCAGAGCGAAAGGCCCTCCAAGTAGAGACCTGTTCCTGCCTTCTTCTGAACCCCTACTCAGAGCAGCACCCAGATCCTTTAGCTGGGCATTTCACTTCTGGCTCAGAGAATTTCTCTGGAGTTGGACAGCAAGTGGTCTGGGGTGGGAACAAAGTGTGTGAGACTGAGATGTACACATTTTGGAAAAGTTTCCAGAGCACTTTGGGCTACATTCAAGCTAGAGTCCACCCTGGTCCACTGAGACAGGACTGCTGCATTGGTGCAGTAGATAATTTTCTCACATGAAATTGAGGGGATCTGTCTAGATATTAATTATGGATTCTTCCAATCCAACATCCTTGAAGTCTGTGTTTTACTGTTTTCGCTTTTAATCAATGAAATACGTTGCAATAACAAGATATCTAACAAAATGGACCTATGATAGCAAATTCAACAGCAAAGTCTAACTGGCTGTAGGCTCATAGCTGTTATCACTAGTAACATTCTAAACATTACTTTTTAATTTCAGAAATAATGTATATCCATTACAGAAAATACCCCATGAAAATACTCCACTAAAAACACAGACCATAAAAATATCAAAATCCTCAATGTGTCAAACTGCCAAGTAAAAAGACTATTGTTTTAAGGTTTTGGTATATAACCCTTTCAACTTTTTGCTGTGAACATTTTTACGAACATATAAGCATCTATTTACCAATCAACTATGTGTACAACTATGTCACCATTTTTAAGAGCCATAAAGGGTTTCATTGTGTGGCTGTGACATAATTTAATCAATTTCTTATAGGTGGAAGCTGCCTGTGTTCCATTATTTCAAGTAATTTTGCAACTCTGATTATTTCCTCTGGAGAACTTGCTAGAAATGAGAGTGGAAGAATGACTGTATTGATGTATTCACCCTTCACTCCTCCTGCAGGAGTGCAGAAGAAGAACTCAGTCATGGTTATCCATCCACCATCAACCACCCACCCGTTAACCATCTTGTCCTCTCTATCACTCACCAGTTCCCAACATGACACTCATCACCACTGCCACAGACAGGGATGCTCTGGAGAAAACAAGTTAGTCCTTGTTTCCCCAAGTGTGACTGTACCACAGGGCCTTTGCATCCGCCGCTCCTCTGCCTGAATTATTTTTTCACCGACAGTCCCACTGCTTATTCTTCCACTCCTTTCAGAACTTGGCTCATACGGTACTTTTCTAGCGGCCCTCCCAGACGAGCTCAATGTAAAACAGAACCCCTTTCATTCTCTTCCTTTCTCATCTTGCTTGATTCTTTTCTTCCTAGCACTCATAACCAGCTCACATATATTTTACATTTGTTTATTTTCCATCTCTCCCCAGTCAAATAGGAATGAAAGCAAGAATTTGACTTTCTTATTCACTGCTATATTCCTAGAAGAGTCCGTGGCACATAGTAGTGCTCAATTGGCATCAACTAACTCACTTGAAAAGGCCAAAGAGATAAAGGAATAATTCAAAAGATTGTAAATGCAAAGAGGGATAGCCCCTGAGGGATTAATTTTCAAAGGAAAACAACAAAAACACCTTAAACCTTTAAACTTTCAACAACAGAGGGTAGATAATCATGGTGTGTTAACTTGGTGAAACACTGTAAAGCTATTATAATCAATCATGAAGACCCTACAGCAAATTGTGTATTTAAAATGTTAACCAAAAAAAGGGTTATTTAAACCATGACAGCAACCATCTAAATTCATGGATAAGGAACAAACTTACCTCTAAGAGGCAGAAATAAAGAAAGCTGTAATGTATAGAAACTTTACCTTATTTAAATAACTTACATTATTATGCTAGAACATTTGAATAAAAATCAATGTTTTTAAAAGTTGAAGGTCTCAGTCAATTTTAGCACATAAATTTCTTAGAGTTATTAAATTCTTCAAAGGATAATTTAAACATGTATATACAATACAGGCTACATTAAATACTTCATTTATCAGAAAAGATATGTCAACTCCTGCCATGAAGAACCCTGGGAAGGGCCACAAATACAGCTCCCTTCCTCCCATTCCCACCAAATCCCCATGGGCTTTAATCATCTTCACTTCAGAATTGATACTAACACCCTAACCCAAAATAGATTAGAAGTATCATAGCAGAAATGGTAGTGTTTTTGGAGGAAGGAACTCTTACAATCAGAAGACACATCAGTGTATAACGTAGAAAATTAGAATACTGGAAAAGCAAACACCTAAGTCCTAAAAATTCAATAGGTTGGGGTCATTAAGTTTAGGAAGAGAAGGGCCCTACACAGCAGGCACCACATGACACTGTGCTATGGCTGGGTTCAGGAGTGAAGCATTAGAACAGAGAGAGCCCAGTTGCAAGCTCCCCAAGAATAGGCAACTGCCTCACTTGTCACTCAGCAACTCTAGCATCTAATGGCTCTCCTTATTGTTAATAAAATAAAATGGTGCTAAAAGTCATTACAAAAATGACTATGTTTTTAGTGTGTCTTTTAGAAGACAAAGTAACATATAATACACTTTAGGAAGGTTTCCAGTCAGATGGAATGTTCAATAACATGTATTGGTGTTTTAAGAATCTTTAGCTACTGGAAAATCTGCTTATGTAAAATACCTTTTCCCATGGTACCCAGTGGTTACTATATTGCTGCACTCTTCTCTCATTTTTTCATAACTGGTACTCATGTACACATCTTCTCTCAGGGATCCACATTATAGGTTGGAAAATATCAACGCCCCCCAGTTAAGCACCTATTACAGACACTGACTCACTTATATATACTGTGGGGGGTTTTCCAACAGGGCATGGTCCCCTTTCCCTCCTTTTATGAAGCTATAATCTGGGCCGCATTACCCTACTTACACCCATTAGAACAAGGGCCTCTGCTTTAGCTTCTTCTGTTTGAGGAAGATGAAGATTCATTTCATCACCATCAAAATCTGCATTGTAGGGTGTACATACACACTCATTAAATCTGAAGGTTCGGTGGGGCTTGACCCTGGCCTGTGGAATACAAGAGAAGGACTTAGTCATTTATTTAAAAGCTTCTTCATTTCAAAACATTAAAAAACAGCTTTCTGGAAAATGGAAATTTAGATTAAGGAAATAAATTTCTAGTATGTTCTGTCAAATGAGGTATGTCATTTGTAGACTCACTCATCAATGCCAATGCACTGAGCTTGTTTTAACACTATGAGGCAAACACTAACATTGGAGCCATGTGAAGGGGTTCCCTCTGGCCAATGACATCAGTTTGATATTAAAAAGATTTATGGCAAAAGTTAATTAAAATACACTGACTATTGGGTTGGCCAAAAAGTTAGTTTGTTTTTTCTCATACAATGGCTCTAGTAGTGCTTAGCTGTCTTTAACTTCACTTGAAACAATTTTGTTACATTGTATTGTGTGCATTCAAAACAGACTTATCAAAATTGGTCATTTTTGTGTAGTTATTTTAATATTTAAGATGGAAGAAAATACACAAGTTTTCTGCATACTATGCTTTATTATTTCAAGAAAGGTAAAAACACAATGAAATGCAAAAAAAGATCTGTGCAGTGTATGGAAAAGGTGCTGTGAAGGACTGAACATGTCAAAAGTGGTTTGCAAAGTTCTGTGCTAGAGATTTTTCGTTGGACGATGCTCCATGGTCAGGCAGACCAGCTGAAGTTGACAGTGGTCAAATTGAGATATTAATTGAACCTATCAATGTTATACTATGAGGGAGAGCTAACGTACTCAAATATCCAAATCAATAAAGTATTGGTGAAAATGAAAAATGTGTTTTTTATCTTACAGGAAAAACTAGACAGACTTTTGGGCTTACCCAATATATAAAAATCTATGAGTTTATTGTGACATTAAAAAAAGGGAAAGCCAAACAAGTAAACAAATAAAAAACCTAAAACAACTGAGTTGGAAGTAACAGAACACCAACTTTTTACTTCCCAAGTTGACAATAAAGGAAAAAGAATTAGGTATTTAGGCTGCCTTTCCTCTATGAATTGTATTTCTAGGTAAGCAAATAGACCTAGTTTTTCAGTACAAGAATCCTATGCATAAAATGTTGAAGAAATGATAAATTAGAGATTCACCACTTGGTAGCCCTAATGAACTAATGTATAATGTAGGCAATGATCATAAATGAATGAAATCATTAGAAAAAAGGCTGATGAGGAAGGAACCTTTCAAAAAGACATCAGGTGACTTCTCCAAGGTTTTTAGAGTAAGAGTGGAGCACTCAGATAACACGAGACTCTTCAAATAAGCCCTCCTGGAAGTGGCAGGCACTAACCATCATTACACCTGTCAAAAAGTTGAACCTGAATCTGATCGTGTCTTGACAGCTAATTTCCAGTTTATAGGAATAAAAGGAAGAATGAAGAAACATTTAACTCCATACAAACTAAGAACATGGGATGTTCTTGAGGACAGATAACTTGGTTTCTTCAACAATGAAATTAAACTTTAAAAAAGGAGGACTGTTCTAGATCAATAGAGACCTAAGACATGTATCAACTAAATGTTATGTGTGGACTTTGCACCCTGATTCAAACACTAGCTGCAAAAAGATTTTTGAGACTCTTGGGGAAGTGTGACTGGACTGAGCACTGGACTGCTTGTTTGTGAGGCGTGGCGACAGCACTGTGGTGGTCGTGTGTCTTACAGATGCACACTGAACACTCATGGAACAAGGACACGGTGTCTCAGTTTGTCAACAAGAAAAGGAAGACATAAAACAAGTGAGGCAAAATCAAGAAAATTATTGAATAAAAAGGATGGGAATATGTGAGTTCATCATAGTATTCTTTCTATTTTTGTATAAATTTGAAAATACTTACACACAAAAAATTCTGTTTAAAAAACTGCTTCACAGCCATACAGAAGTTTCTAGAAGAGGAAGGCTTCTATTCCTCTGGATCCCACAATCACAACATCATAATCATATACTGCGGTTTTGGTATTTCCACCGCTAGGTAAAAAGACTAATGTAATGTGTTCACAAACTATTGAAAAACTCAATTTACTAAAACACTATTTTAAAAGCCTGTTTAAACACTATTTACAAATGCTCATGGATTTAATGGCTTTAAAGATAGGAGAATTGAAGAATATTTAACAAGTTAAAGTTGTATCTCATTTCCATTTTAAATTTCCAGAAAAAGCAGCTGCTGCTGTTGCAAAACTATACCACCAAAAAATATGGTTAGGGTCTTAATTGGAGGACTAGTGCAAAGGAAAATTTTTTAAGCATTTTAGTTCCTTAGTTAATATGCTAAGTCAAATCGAAGTCAATTTTCTGCTATATCTATTTTATATAAATTTGTGCACACACATATGTAATACATTTAAGTTTACAAGTGAAATCATGCTAATCACTTTCACACTAATTTTCAATTAGTCACTGTGTTTTACTGTGTATGAATATCACATTATAAATATTAAAAACACTGAATAGGAGCTTGAAATTTACAAGTTTCACTCAATTAATAAGTGAAAGAAAGGGAAATCAAAAGTTATGAAAATCTGAGATTACTGGCAACTTCAATTTCAGCCGTCTGGAATTTAGCACTGCATGCACAGCATTCTTTCCAGCCCACAAAAAAAGAAAACCAGAAATCTCACACTCACCAAATGCGCCATAATGCTCAGTTTGTGCAGCGAGGGCTGCCGATTGAAAAGTACCACATCCCCGTCTATGAGGTGTCTCTCCACGATGTCCCCATACTTGAGCTCCTGAGCCATTTTTTCCCTATTTCCGTATTTCAAAAACCTTTACAATAATAAACATGAGTTGTGAGAACAAAGTTCCCTCACCAAGTTTCTCTCTTTTTATCAAGATTCAATCTCTAATGATCGTATTTCACTGAATCTAAGGTGTTCCCAGAAACCATCAATTAAACTATGACAAATTAATGTAAGATATAGCTTAATTTATCCCACAGTGTTCGTTCATTAGATCCAGTAACAGCAAGTGCTAGGGAACAAACTCACACTGCATGTATATTCATTCGTCCAACAAGGCAAATGACATACATGGGCCCACTGCAACTTCAATATGTATTTTCCACATGCTAAAATGTCCCCAAAACTGTACTCTGGACTGCATTCTGTGGCTGAGTATGGCAAGAGTGCACTTAGTCGTGAGGAGGTAGTTATATCCAACTAGATTGGGAAACCATTACCTTTTCATCTGTGTATGTCTCTGCTGAATGAAATTAGCTCCTGGGTGAACTTCAGGTCCATTTTGAACCAGTTTCCTCAAAAAGCTGATGTTTGCTTTGTTTACCTGCAAGACCACAATGGGATACTATTAGATTATACTTGTCATACTTCTACCAATTGTACACTATACTGAATTGAATCTTTACTTTCTTTGTGTGGTTCTAGAAGAAAGAGCAGCAGCACCCTGGGCATCCTGCTGCTGAGGGCCAAGTGTAATGATAGTGGGTTGGCACAAGGACCCCAGCTTCCAATCTGCACTTGGTCACTCGCTGGATGACATGGTCAAGTCCCTCACTGGCCTTTGGTATCCCATCAGTAAAATAAATGGGCTGGATCTGTAGGAACATTCCAGCACACCTGTGATCCTAAAAACAGGTGGCAACTTCACCTGCAATAATTCACCATGGCCTTCCAAGGTTTAAAAGCTGTGGCACAGGCACCAGAGCCCCTGCTCTGCATCACTGTGTCTGACAACCTTCTGGACACCAGTCTCCTAGGACATCATCTCAGAGAAAGAAACTCCGGATCATTAGTAACTCAGCTAAGGATACTTTACACAAGTTTTACCAGAACCATCTGTGACCTGGGCTAATTATGAATTTCAAGGGCAAAGCCTATTAATATCCCCCTGTTATTACACCTCCTATACCTCAGTTAAAAAAAAAGTATTGTATGTTTTACACTCATGAGGAATGTGAGTTGAGTATAAAGTGGTGGAGTCTTTTTGGTTATGCACCAATAGCCTTAAAATATTAAAAGAAAAAACAAATGGTTTTTTGTTTTTCTTTGGTCAACTGAAGCATTTTATTTGCACACATGTATTACATCCCTAGAAAAAAGAATCCCAGGGAATATATTCCCTCCTGTGTGTTTCGTCTTGCTTCCTCATGGTCTATGATGCCCGCTGAGGTTGTCAGTACAATAAAACCAAACTGACGGGACGAAAGCAGGTTGTTCTGCCATTTTTCTACATCTTTGAGTAGATGTACTTCCACAGCAAATCTGGGGCCGATTACTCCGCACTTGTTCAACTTGCCCACGAGATTCACAACAGCTTTCCCAGCTCTGTGGTCATCAATAATTTAAAATTCACCAATGTATCCTGTTTTAACTGTGCTGGATCATCACAGTTAGAAACCAGATGATGACTTAGGAGCATCACCTGGTAATAACCCGGCATTTGCCTCTCTTTTCAGCATTGTTGACACTCTTAAAAGTATTGGCCAGGACATTCATGCGCACCATTATGGCCACCACGAGGAGATCCTGGCACCGCCGACTGACCAATCACCTTTCTGGGGGGGGGGGCGTCAAGAGCTCTGGTTCCCACCAGCCTGTGCCCTGTAATTCAGCTCCCCATGATACTGGATTCTAAGGTTTTTAAAAATAAAAATCCATCCTAAGAAAATTAACTGTATAGGGTGTTTATCATTTCGCTGTTTTAAAACATGAGGTATGAGATCTTGTCAAGATAGAGGAATAGGTAAACATGGCTCACCTCCTCGTACAACCATAACAAAATCACAAGTAAACTACAAAGATCACCCAGAACTCTCAGATATCAAGCTGAATGGAAATCTGACAACTATGGAACCAAAGAAATCACATCAATCAAGAAGGGCAGAAGATGCGGAGGCACAGATGGGTGGGCCTCACATCCACATTTGGTGGATAAAAATTCCTCCAGAATATCTCGGGAGTGAAGGGTCCCAGCTCCACATCAGAACCCCCAGCACAGGGTATCAGTGCCAGGAAGAGAAGCCCCCATAACTCCTGGCTGTAAAAATCAGTGGGACTGGAGTTGGTGAAAAGAAGTACTGGACTCCCTGCAGTTTCTTCTAAAGGGCCTGCACCAAACTTATGCACACGCACTCCCTCTGATCTCTGGCACCACCAGGGTAACACCCTGAAAAGCACCAGAGGCATACGGAGAGGAAGTGAAGTGTCTGGCATCAAGGTGAGAGCTGGGGGACAGTTCCCTCCCAGACAGAAAGGTGGGCAGAGGTCATTGTGCCTTTTCTGAGCCCTCCCAATCCCGGAGCCACAGATCCAGCAGGTGGTAGGCATGTCTGAGACCCTATCAACCTGGTTTACACTGTTTGCCCTGACCTGGTATTTACCTGAGGCTCTGCCCCACTGAACTTAAGGCCTGCCCCCAGCCCCATACCTTCAGCTAAACGGCTCCAGGCTGGGCATCAGCAGCAGACAACTTTGGATCACAGTTTGGTTCCAGCTGGAACCTCCAAGCCCAGCACAAGTATCAGCCAGCTACTTGTGGATTGCTTTGTAGCTCACACTGGGTAGCCCTGGGGCAGAAAATAAGTGGTGACTGACCCTGACCTACCAGGGAAACCCCAGGGCCAGCACACCCAGTGGAGAGCTACAGACCATGCCAGACCACCACTACCTTGCCCTGGCACAGGTGATTCTGAGAGTGAAGGTTGGTGACCAGTGGTCACAGCCAGTCCTTGCAGCTGACTGGCCTGGATAAATCCCTCCCCAACAACAATCAAGTCTCAACTATAAGAGGAGGGTGTACTCAGCTCACAAAGAGGTGCACCTTGAGTACCCAGTTTGGGTAACAGGGAAGGCTATGCCACTCAACCCTGCAGGCCATGCTACCAAGACAGGGAGTCACAGCAGCTCTACCTAATACACAGACACAAACACAGGGAGGCTGCCAAATGAAGAGACAAAGAAACATGACCCAACTGAAAGAACAGATCAAAACTCCAGGAAATGAACTAAACAAAATGGAGATGAGCAACCTATCAGATGCAGAACTCAAAACACTGGTTATAAGGATGCTCAAGGAACTCAGTGAGTACTTCGATAGCATAAAAAAGAGGCAGAAGTGAAGGATATACTAGTGGAAATGAACAATTTACAGGGAATCAACAGTAGAGCAGATGAAGCTGAGAATCAAAACAATGACATGGAAAATAAGGAAACAAAAAACAACCATGCAGAAGAAGAAGAAGAAAAACAATCAAAGGAAAAACAAAAACAAAATAAGGAGAGTGCAAGCAGCCCCTGGGACAACTTCAAGCATTCCAACATTCATGTAATAGGGGTGCCAGAAGGAGAAGAGAAAGAGCAAGTAATTAGAAATCCATTTGAAAAAATAATGAAAACAAAACAAAACAAAACAAAACTTCCCTTATTTGGTGAAGGAAATAAGACATGCAAGTCCAGGAATCCCAGAGAGTCCCAAGTAAGATGGATGCAAAGAGGCCCACTCCAAGACACATCATAATTAAAACGCCAAAGGTTAAAGATAAAGAGAGAATCTTAAAAGCAGCTAGTTACCTACAGGGGACTCACATAAGACTGTCAGCTGATTTCTCAAAAAAAAACTTTGCAGGCTAGGAGGAACTGGCAAGACATATTCAAAGTCATGAAAAGTAGGGACCTACAGCCAACAATGTTCTATTCAGCACAGCTATCATTTAGAATTGAAGGGTAGATAAAGAGCTTCCCAGACAAGAAAAAAACTAAAGGAATTCATCATCAAACCATTATTCTATGAAATGTTAAAGGGACCTATTTAAGAAAAAGAAAATCAAAACTATGAACAATAAAATGGCAATAAATACATATGTATCAACAATTGAATCTAAAAAACAAACTAAGCAAAGAACAGAGCCAGAATCATGGATATGGAGAGCATTTTGATGATTACCAGATGGGAAGGTGTTTGGGGGAATGTGTGAAGAGGTGAAAGATTAAGTACAAATTGATAGTCACTGAATAGCCATGAGGATGTAAAGTACAATATAGAGAAAGAAGTAGTAGCCAAAGAACTTACACACATGGTCCATGGACATGAACAATGGTGGGGGGACGGCCTGAAGGGAGTGGGGGTGCTGGGACAGGGCAGCAAAGCGGGAAACATTGGGACAACTATAACAGCACTATCAACAAAAAATTTTTAAAAATGGGGTATAAAGCAACACAGAAGGATGTCAAAGACGATATTACTTGGGAAAAAAGTTGCAGAACAGTGTATTTCATCAGTCTATGAGTACACATACAGTTGTGGTTGTATGTGCTGTAGATATTACACATGGGGATATTTGCATAAAACATGAATCAAACAGGAAAGATGTGCTTGCTAACGCACAGCAAACTGTGGGTTAGGTGGGTTACTGGGGATTTTCTGCTGTCTGTTGTTTGGATTTTAAAATATAATGTAAAAGACTGGATGCAAAACAAAGAATCAAGTAGCTGAATGGTACTTACTTTCTCGGGAAAGGTTAGAATTTTGGCCACATGAACTGGCACAGCTACCTCATCAATTCGGAGGTTCGGGTCAGGTGAGATGACTGTTCTGCCAGAAAAATCCACCCTCTTTCCTGAGAGATTGCCTCTAAATCGACCTAAAAAAATAAAAATGTGTCGCAGGTCTCCATAGCATAAGATGTGCCATTTGGGGATAATGGGAGCAGAAAGAGGAAAGTCTGTGATCTCCAATTAGATAAGTTGGACATGCATTCAAAAACAAACCAACCAAACACACACACACAAACAAACACACAAGCAAAGGCAGTAAACTGTTTCCTATACATTTTCTTGGTGACATACCCTGTTTTCCCTTCAGGCGCTGGACAAAGCCCCTGGTCCATTTCTTGGGTGCCATGTTAAGGGGAATGCCTGAGAGCTCACTGTTGATGTAGAGGGCACACTGTAGCTGTAAGAAGTCCCAGTCTTCCATGATCATCTGGGTCTTAGCTCCTGATATCCGATGCTAAAAATGAGCAGAGTATGAACAGAAACAGGCCTTGTCAATTTGACTCTTTATCACAAGTGTTTGCATAGATACACTCTAAACCTTAGGGCTTGCAAATACTAATGGGAAGCACTGACCTTTTTAATGACATCATTTAGGAAAATGATTTCTGTCAATTTCATTGTCAGATCATCTTCATTGGTGCCAGACTTCAAATCACTCACAACAGAGGGTCTGATACACAAGGGGGGAACTAAAAGTCGCGTAAGAATCAAATCGGAAGGCTTTCCAGCTTCTGGGTTCATCAGAAGAAGAGGGACATCTTCAGCCGGGATTTGTTTAAATAAATTTAGAACTACCAAGGGATTCAAGTTTTCCTGTGGGAAGGGAAAAGGTATGTCAATTTCCCATAGCTTGGGCAAGGCTTATTTTTCCATGCTTTCTGGCCTACTTGCCATTTAGAAGAAGTACAAGTGATGACAGAGATTTCTGTCAATCTGGTATGTTGTGAGAGCTCTTAAAATACGCATGCCTTTCATCCCAATGATTTAAACTAATAATTCCACTTCTCATGATGATTCCAAAGGGTATGATTTCAAAAATTAATGCAAAGTTTCAGCAATGAGGATGTTCACTAAAGCTGTCCTTAATTGTGAAGTTGGAAATAGCCTGACAGGTTATTAGATACAACCATGAGATACCCATACATTGAAAAACCTATGAAGGCATTAAAAAGAAAAAAAGACACTATGGAAATGTAGCTACTGCCATGAAATGTGTTCACAAAATACTGGTAAATGAAAAAAGCACATATACAATATGATCTCATTTAGGATGTACATCAATACAGAAACAAGGAAATGGAAGAGCTTACCAAGGTTTTAACAGTGCTGTCTTTCGGTGAGTGGAATTATAATCATTTTGCTTCAATTTTTACATTCAAATGTTCTGTAGTAAACTTATATTGGTCTGTATTAACTTCACTTAAAACACTGCCATCCTGTAAGAACTTACTCTACAATAAAAGAACTAGGCAAACTATCAGAGATAATCAAAGATTAAAGGTAAGAATGATCAGCTTGTGTCTTACTGTTGCTTATTAATTTTTCTTGGGATCAAAGATTGTATGACTGAGAATATGTGCTACAAGCAGAACTTGCTGTGTATAACTTAATGAGAAGGGGAAGAAAGTTAAAACTAAAGAAATGACTGAATGGCTACTGCCCTTAGAACAGTGCTGCAGCCCTGGCTGGCGTAGCTCAGTGGATTGAGCTCGGGCTGCGAATCAAAGTGTCGCAGGTTCGATTCCCAGTCAGGGCACATGCCTGGGTTGCAGGCCATGGCCCCCAGCAACCACACATTGATGTTTCACTCTCTCTCTCGTTCTCCCTCCCTTCCCTCTCTAAAAAGTAAGTAAATATATAAATAAAATCTTAAAAAAAAAAAAAAAAAGAACAGTGCTGCAAAAGAAAGTAATTGCAGTCCCATCCTGGAGAAAAGGGCACTGAAGTCAGGGAGAGGGAGGCTTTTCCAATCAATATTCTTGCCCAGAGAAGAATTCCCTTCCTCAGTTTCCCTGTCTCCCAGCAATGGGTACACCTCATTGTACCCCTGAAGCAGGTAGGGAAGGAATCTAAAACTGTTCACAGAATTCTAGGAAAGAGATGAAGGTCAGACATCACCTGCAGCACCAGTTAGTACTAGACGAGAACACCATGGGACTGAAGGCCATGCAGGAGAGCAGAACACTGGCAAGAGTCTGGAAACCGTTTTTTTGCAAGAGCAGCTACTCCAAGAATGATGTAATGACAGCCTCCCCAGAGGCGGCTGGAAGAGGCTGGTGACTTACTCTGTTATGCACCAGAGGGCAGAAATCAGGGACCCATGCAGAGACAGTAGAGAAGGACTAAGTTTTGTACAGGGCAGAACATTGTAACACCTAGAGCTCTGAAGTGATGGCGTGTATGCTGCTTTGGCTGGTGGTGAGGGAACATGGCTGGAAGGCTGTCAGACAGGGCAGCCCGCCACCCATGTACTAGGCATGTTGTGACATTTTTACCTGGTGGGGAGACAGGACTGATGGCATCTATGGAGGGACTTTTGTCTGCAGGTTCACCAACTCCTGGATTTGTATTAAAATTGGAAGTGGATATACATTAGTCTTCCAGGGATAGAGTCCAGAGGTTCTGTTGAATTCCTAAATGAGTGTGTAACTCAGAGGAAGTCAACAACCACTGCACTAGGGTCTGTTTCAACTCAATCATGCTGCGCTGCCCATAAAGGTATGGGGTTCCACATTCCTGAACATTAAATGAACTAGGATGAGCCAATGATCTTTAGGGTCCTGCATACTTCAAGCATCAAACAGGACATCAGAAAAATGGAACTTGTTACTGACCAAGCTTATGCAGAAGAAACCATCAAAAATTTAAGACAGAGTACAAGTGTTATACAAGGCAGAGAAAATGTACACATGGTTGAGGGAAGGCTGAGATCTTAAAGCAGGTCCAGAGAGCAGAGGAGGCTGCATGGAAGCAGCTAAGGGATGGGGATTCTGCTGATGGAGAGGAGGAGGGAAGGACGGCTTTCTTAAGCTCAAGAGACACTATGAGTCTGAGCACACAGCAGAGGTGGGAGGAAACCTCATCTGTCTGATTGTGATGGTTATTATAGGGATGTTAGCAGCAGGGATAACCACTACTGTAACTGGGTAACATGCTCTACGTGCCAGGCACTGTGCTAAGTACTCGATCTGGAATTCATCTGCTAATCCTCACAAAAGCCCTAACGCACATACTCTTGTAATCTCTGCTTTATAGTTGAGGAAACTGAGGTCCAGGTTGGGTCATGTGCCTAAGGTCATACAACAGGTAAGCGGCCAAGCTGGGATCTAATCTGAGGTCTGTCTGACCCCAAAGCCAAAGCTCTTAACTACTACCCTCAACTACCTCTAGGGTGTTAACCTGGGTAAGGTCAGGCTGCGGGGGGGGGTTCGAGGGGGTTACACAGGGAGGTGATAGCAGTAAAGTCATGTTCCAAGACCCCAGCTTAACACTCTAAACAAGTGATTCTTAAATGGAGGGGGTTACCTCCTAGGCCAAGCCAATTGGGAGACTTTCCCAAACAAGATGGCTCCTGGTCCTTGGGGAGAATCACTAACTGGGCAGATTGCCAGAGAGGTGGTCCTCGACAAGAAACGACAGTGGCTGTAGGTGCTGGGCAGAAAGCCAGCAGGGGACAGTGCTGGTAGGATGTCAGGGAGGCTGATCTGAGAGCAGCAGAGTAACTACATGGGGAACCGCAAGTGAGGCTGCACCCAAGAAAGCCCAGGCACCCTCATCCAAACTGACCAAGGATGCCGGCCAGGCCTCTGACAGCTGTCTACAGGGCCGCCAGCCTGGACAGCGCTGCCCTTTCATGCCGTAGAAAGTCATGATTAGCTTCCTCTGCCTTCATCTCAACTTCCTTTGCAGAAGCTTCATTTGAACTACCTTGACGACATCTCCACCTCAATGAATCATTGCTGCTCCCCCTTCCCATTTCCAGAATTATTTCCCTGATGCCCACACTCAGGTGCTCACTCACCTCTGATCACTCCCTCTCACCCATGCCCACCGTGGCTGGTCACCAATTCCTGTCTTCTCTTACGGTACACAATGACTGGCCTCTGATTCCACTATCACTGCCCAGGTTCAGGGCTGACTTTCTATTTTTCTCTTTCAATTCAAAGCATAATTTACACATAGTAAATTGTACCATTCTTAAAAATGTTTTTTAAACCTTTACATGTACACACCTGTGTACATTTATACCACCATTCAGATCAAGATATAGAATGTTTCCACCTCTCCAAAAAGTACCTGGACACTCCTTTTTGAGTCAGTACTAAGCCCTCAGCCCAGGGGCAACGGCTCTCCTGGTATCTGTTACCACACAGATCAGTCCAGCCTGTTCTCAGGCCTGATCCAAATAGAACCCTACAGTGTCTACTCTTTTACATGGCTTCTTTCTCTTGGCAGGATCCGAAGATTCTGCCAGGCTGTGTGTCAGGAGTTCACGTCTTTCACTGCCAGATATCCCACTGCATGGGTCTATGACAGTTGTTCATCCTCTAGTTGACAGGCACCTGGGATGTTTCCAATTTTGGCTTTTTCTAATGAAGCTGCAATAAACATTTTTGTACAAGTATTTTTGTGGACATACGCACTCCTTTCTTTTTAGTATATACCTAAAGGTAAAACTGCTAGATCATATGGTACGTATGGGTTTAACTTTATAAGAAATTGCCAAACTGTCGTTCAGAGTGGTGGTAACATTTTACACTTCCACGATCAATACATGAGTGCCAGTTGCTACAGATCCTTCCCCACACTTGTTTTTTTTTTTTAAACATTTTACATTTTCTGGGAAAGTGTGTGTGTAGTTTTAATTAGCTTTCCCTGATAATCAGTAACATTGAGCAACTTTTCATTGATTTATTGACCATCTGAATACATCCTTTTAGGAAGTGTCAATTTAGGTCTTCCTCCCACCTTTTAAAATCAGGTTGTATTTTCCTTAGTGATTTGTAAAAACCGTTTTCTATGTTCTGGCTGTGAGAGTCCTGTCAGATTTATGAATTGTGACTGTTTTCTCCCAGTCAATGTTTCATGCTGGTCTTTTGAAGAACGGGCAGGTTCTTCTAAAATTCTGCAATTTATTCATCATGTCCATTCCCCGTTCGAAACTTTTGGTGGCTCCACACTCCCCAGAGCAGGATGCCTTCTACAAAGTGGTCTCGTCGTTTGTTGAGGCCTGCACGCCAACTGCCTTGGCAAGAATTCTTGCTCTATCACTCACTGTCATAGACAATGCTGTCTAATAAGGCTGTTGAGAGGATTAAATACAGGGTGGGGCAAAAGGAGGTTCACCGTTGTTTATATGGAAAATAATATGACAATTAATAAACGATACTATAAAAGTAAACTTTGTTTTGTGTATCCACAACTGCAAACTTTCTTTGCCCCTCCCTGTATGAGGTAGCACTGCTGCAGAACTCTGAACCATGCCTGAGGTTAACAGCAGTCACTAATGCAGGTGCTTCTATTTATATCACTCTCTGGTCTTCCAAACAGAATCTCAGCTCCTGAACGAGCCTAGACACTCACCTGGACATTCTGAGCTCACTGCCCTGGACTGTTCACACCCTACTGACCTTTAAGAAGCAGCTCAAACATCTTTCCTCACAGTCCTCCCTAACCAAGTTCAAAATGAAATTTTCCTCCTGATTTCCCACTGAACTTCCTGTCCTTGTTATTCTTGTGACAGCCAGCACTGTGGCCTATCATATTAGTTATCTTTTCACAGATTAGTGGCTACTGATACACCTAACCTGTGGGATCTTTGAGCAGACCAGTGCCTGATGCTCCCCGTCAGGTCTGATAGAGTCTGGTACTCAGTAGACACTCAACTAATTTGTTAGTTTCATATAGTATTCTATATAGTACTACGGAAATTAAGAACTAATTGAACTCAGAGCAAGGAAAAACATGACACTTCACAGAATTCTATTGGTTAAGTTTGTACCAATTAAAGTTATGAGAATTACCTACAATTAATTACCTATGTCTTACTATCTAAGTGAGAAACAATATCTTTCAGTTTATGCTCTATTCAGCTATAGCTTTAAAATAAAAATGTAATACATTACCCAGACAATTGAAAATTTGTTAGTTATAAGGCCAGGTGACATTAAACTCAGGGCTAAACAATTGCCACATGAAGTATTCCTGGAGATCTAATTGAACTGAACTTATTTTGGAATAAGGTGTATGTATCAGAAGGTGGAGGGACAGGACGTGTGTGTTGAGACCTAGGGAGTAGCGGAGGCAGGAAGAGGGTAGGCACGCACAGCAGGCTCACCTGTGCTCGTCCCAGCAGGGGCTCCACTTCTTTGTTATGCTCTATGGCAGTTTCAAAAGACTGAAGGAAATTTGATACGACAGGATCTACCACTTTTTTGTTGGTCTTGTATTTCTCATGAATTATCTTCAGTAATCCACATTTCTTCACAGTACCTATAAAAATTTGTTTACCAAGGTTCAACACATTAGGTTCATGGAAAGGCTACCCTGAAGTTGCAGCCTAGGTAATGAAGTTACTGAAATTGCTACAGCAATGAAAGATGAGAGATGCGTTTCCTAATAGGGCGTCAGTGAGTAGGCTCTAAAGCCTAATTTTTTTTTAAAGATTTTGTTTATTTATTTTTAGAGAGGGAAGGGGGAGAGAGGGGGAGAAAGGCGGAGAGAGGGGGAGAAAGAGAGATATCAATGTGGGGTTGCTGGGGGCTGTGGCCTCCAACCCAGGCATGTACCCTGACTGGGAATCGAATCTGCGACACTTTGGTTCGCAGCCCGTGCTCAATCCACTGAGCTATGCCAGCCAGGGCATAAAGCCTAATTTTTAAGAAAAGAGTTGACTTGGACAAACTGCATAAAACCAATACACTAAACAAACAATTCATAGAAGGGTCATTGCTAAGCCTTTCCTGCATTGGGCTCACCATTAAAAGCACCACAGTGATGGCAGATGTTTTTCTTTCGGCATTTATCAGAGATTTTCTTCTTCAGTCCTCGCTTCTGGAGGTAGGTCAGGCCAGGCCTCTTTAGATAATCTAGAAACTGCTTCTTCTCCTCCTGGGACAGCATGATATGGCAGCAGGTTTTGCAGATCATCTTTTGAAAATTAAAACAGATAAAAGGACAAGAGGATAAAAAATCTTATCTTTTTAAAATGGTGTCCCCACTCCTTGCCCAGGACACGTAACTGATGCATGAACGGATCTGCATGAAGATATGTATAGAGAGGCAGCCCATGATCATGAGAATGCTAGCGATAGTCGTAGCTGGCTGGTAGGGTTTTTAAGTTTGTTTGTTTGCTTTTTAACTCTGTGCTGTTCTTATTACTTGAATTATTATTTTATAATATATATCTACCATGTACTAAAGGAAATTCAAGGAATAAAGAATCCTTAAGACATTTAATTTACTGAAGATAAAACATTATGTGCTTAATATAAAAATCTTCCCTAGGTGTGTCTCCTACCACTCACAATTCCTAAGCTCACTGCGATGTCCCTAATTGATAACTCCCTGTCCCTAATAGATAACTCCCAAGTTCATGCCTGGGTTATGAACACATAAATGCTCACCTGTAAGATGCCTATAACTGCTCTGAAGTACCCCACGTGAAAACATGGCAGTTCCAAGTCAATGTATCCGTAGTGGCCCAGACAGTCAGCCAAGTTTTTACCACAGGTTTCACAAGGACGGTCCTTCTCACTGGTACCCTTTGATAAAAGCACACCCAAAAATCAATGAAGAATACTGGACAGCAAAATGGGGACCAGTACGCACAGGTGGCCAGGTCAGAATAAGAATCAGAATCACCTGAGAAGCTAAAGCATATTCCCACATAACTGACCGAATGCTAGAGGTGGAGTCCTTGTGATGTGCAGGGGAGTAGGGTGGATGGAAAGAAGTTCTTGCTTCTACCAATCTGGTAGGTCACCAGTTTCATCAGTAAGTCAAAACAACACGTGGCACTGGGAAGTGGCAGGGGTCTTACCATCCTGTGGTCAAGCACCCCATATAGCAAGGGGGCATGGTTGTTGTCCTGGCTGTACAGGTTCTTACTCACGACCTGGATGTGTGCCTGCTGTCGCATCTCCTCGGGTGACTTCATTCCAAAACAGATGTGGCTTCTTGAATGAAAGGAAACAAGGGAGCAATTACATCAAAACCACTTACCCAAAATGGCCATTACATATGCGACCCACCATAACCAACCACATCCTTCCAGCTCTTTATGGGTTCTGCTCCCCCATCATGTATAGTTAAACCTCTCCCACTTTTCCTTGGGGAGGCACCCCTTCACTCTGCGGGAATTGTTCCCACTCTATCAAAGGAAATGGTGCTCACAAAGGTCACCAAGTCCACCTGCTTATTGCTAAATCTAATAAGAACATTTTCGTTTTACCTAGCTGTAGCATTAGCATGTAACACCTCCCTCTCCCCTCATCTTGAAATACTGTCTTTTCATGGCTTTGGTAACACCATATACTTTTGAGTTTTCTTCCCATCTCTGGCTGTTACTTTTGTTGTCTCTTCTATTGCTGTCCCTTAAATATCGGCATCTCTCCCTACCTAGGATTATAGGCCTCATCCTCTTTTCATTCTCCACATTTCTCCTGAGTGACAGTGTCACTTGAGTACATGCTGATGTCAGTTTATCTCTATCTGTGGTCCAGCTACTACTTCTATTCAGCTGGAGACCATATAGATACCTCTTTGGGGACCTCTGCTTGGATATCCCACAGGCACCTCCAACTTGACACATCTAAAACAGGACCTAGTACTTTGTCTCCCAAATCTGTTGCTGCATTCCCCCCACCCCAAACTGGGGATTTACAGTGTGCCAGGCACTATCCTGAGGGGTTGAGAATACAGATTAAATAAGACAGACAACATCCCTGCCAACATGGAGCTCACAGTTCAGTGTGGGCAAGACATAATAAACTGATAAACAAAAATGAACAAATACAGAGAATTAAATGATATGAAGGGTTAGAGAGAGTCTGAGGAGCCTACTTATGTTATGTGGTCAGAAAGCCTCTCTGTAAAATTGACTTTTAAGCTGAACTTTGAATAAGAAAGAACAAGCAATAAGATGATCCACTGGTTGAACATTTGAAATAAAATATAAATAGGGCAAGCGTCCTAGGACTGGAACAAGCTTGGCACTTTCAAGAAACCAAATGAAAGCAGTACAGTACAGCAAAGAAAGCTGATCGTACAAGATGAAGTTAGTGAAGAACCTGAGCCAGGTTCCATACATAGGGCTTGGGGACCTATGGTAGGGAATTTAAATGTTAGTGCAATGGACGGCTGCTAGAAGATTTTAAACTGAAGTGTCAGGGATGTAATTTGCATCTTAACAGAGGCTCTTGGGTTGCTTTGTTAGGACAGATTACATCTGAATACAAGAAGGGGTTGGAGAGGGTGTGAGAGGCCAGGGTAGATTTGGAGAGACTGCCTGGTAAGGCACACGTTCCCCATTGTAGTTAATGACAACCATCAACACGGCTGCCCAAGCAAGAAATTCTGTGTGTCAATCTCATTTCTCCTTACCAATTTTATACTTAAATCCCTTTCAAATCCACTTCTCTCCAATGACTCTACTACTCCAGTGCAAGCAAGCCATCATCATCCCCTCCTGGATCTCTACAATGGCTTCTAAGGTCTCTCTCTTATTCCCTCTCTCTTGAGTCGAGACCTGTTAGAAGTACTCTTTTCAAGCCACTGCCCTGCTTTATTAAAACCCTTCAAAGGTCCCATATTGCTTGCAAGATGACTCCGGAACACAGCTTAAAATCTCCTGCTTCCTTCTAATCATCCACCCTTTCTTCCTCCGGTACGTAGAAGGCTGTTTAGTCTGTTTTCTTCTGCCTGAACCTCTTTCCCATTCAGTGCTCTCAGAAGCTCCTATAAATGCTCCTGTCCTTGTACTTGTCATAACCAACGTTGACTTGTCTACCTTCTCCAACTAGACTAGGCAGTAAGGTCCTAATTCAGGTCGTATGTCTAAGGCCTATCACTGGGCCTAGCACACACCTTCCTCGGTAAATATGTGCTGCCAGAACTAGTGATTTTCATTTTTCTACAGGACTCTAAGGAGAGCGGTGGCCTAATGAATAAGCTCTGAAGGAGAAGGGCCACAATGGTAGCCTCACTTCTGAGACTGCTATCATCGCTGGTGGTACCGTCCTCTACCTGACAAGTCTATTGATCAGCAATACTGCCTCCCAGTCCCGTGCTCTATAGCAAAACCAGGATTAGACAGTCCCTGCCCTAGAATGCTGCTCACGCTGAAATGGCGAGAGATTTGTGTAAAGAAAGGGATTATCGTTTGACCTCGGGAGAACTCAAGCTTCGGTCCAAGGTGTACCCATCGCCAAGGCTCACGCCACATCCTGCCCAAGCCCAGTGATCATCCCAACCTGCAGGCCCCTAGATGCTGAAATGCCCTCGGCCTGATCAATATTCTTTGACTACTCTGGTAGTTCTGATCCCGGCCCGCCCCATCCAATTGGCCCTCACCTCAAACCCTTAGAAACTGGGACCCCTGACCTCGGTCCCCTGTGCCCCTCATTTGTCCGCTCTTTGGCCAGTGTTGCTCTATCTTACATTTTCTTGGCCACATCCGTCTCCCGGAACTGCTCCTTCACCATGGTGACGGCTGCCGGGATACCTCCTCGAGACTCCGGCAGTTGCGTTAATAAAAAGACGGTCCCTACACCTCCCGGGAGCGCTTCTTGACTCGTTACTGACAGAGGCACCGCAACCTCTCGGCCACCGTAAAACGCCCCACGTGGCCGCTTCCGCTTCCGCTACACGCCAGCACGTCAGTCAAGAGAGGCTTTGGACAAGACAATTTTTTAGTTCTATCTATGCTGCCATCTTGCGTGAGTTCTTTGAAACTACAGCAGATTTTGTATTTTCAAAATCCCATTTCAGCCCCATTTCTCCAGATCATCTGACACCTGCAGATAAACTACAACCTATTGCCTTAAGACTTTTTAGACAACCAGAAAGCAAAGATTGCTAAAATGAAAAATAGTCATTATCAACATTAATCCCATTTTAATTAAAGCCTCTAATTGTTTAAAGAGAGTTGGAGGCTAAAATGAATCCTCCCAAAGAACAGAGGGCACCATCTGGACGACCAACAAAAGAAATAAACGGGGCAGAAAACACGGCCATACATGCTCCTCCAGTTCACAAAGTTATTTTGAAAAAGAAAATAATTAAACCCATATTCTTGATTACAAAAACAGAAGCTGAAAATGTCAGTTCAGAGTGAGAAGTGAACCATGATGAGCTAGGGAAACAAGATGAGGGGAGAACAGGAAGGGAAGGTCATTTATGTATTGAAATATATGCTTGCTTACAGTCTGTGACAACCTGTGGAAGGTGATCCTAATGAGACTAGCAAGGAAACCACACCACCATAGAACTCAGCCCTACAAAACCTGAGTTTTCCTTACTATTTGTGAGGAACTCCAAAGAGAACCCAAGAAAGTGGACCAACAACTTTTGAATTTTATAAAGGGATGCCATCTCATTTTCAGATTCAATGAATTCCCACTAATAAAAACAATGCTGTCACACACAAAGAGCAAAGCAAATCAGATTTTCCTAACCTATTTCAGCAGTTAATCACTTATTGTATCTTTGGAGTAATGTTGACAATTCTGTAACAACAAAATTTGATGAATGACTAGAGGTTAAGAGCAAAGGTTCTTGAACTACCATGACTTCAAGTTCTGTGAGTTTGGTAAAGTTATTTAATCTCACTGTGTTTTAGCTACTTACCCATCTATAAAAGGGTTAAGTAAGAGGTACCCTGTTTCTTAGAGTTGGTAAGGTTAAATGGCATAATGAAGGTAAAAATAATTAGAATGTTACAGGCACATAGCAATCACTCAATGAATATTAATTATTCTTACTATTCTGAAGCATATAGGAAAGCTACCCTCAAACTTGCATCCTGGTGTCCTAGTCCACACTGACCTTTGGGAACCTCTTTCCTAACATTCTCTTTGAACATGAACACTCTACTTCTTTATCTTTACGTTTCTTTCACTTTGAACAACTAAATTTCTGGATCGAGCAAGTACTCCTTAAAAGCTCAATTTTTTGTAAGAACTAAGATTTGCACAAAAAGATGAAGAACTATTCATTTTTAGTCTGAAAAATCATCAGAGAATCTCAGAAAATACAAATTAGCAATAAATCAAAACAGTTTGTGCACTTGACATAGCAAAGATTTTCAGTCAGAGTTTCTGAAGTTTCTTTAGTTGTCAAATGAGGAGGCTGATCAGTAGGGACTCCTACTGTGTGTTCCATCTTTACCAATTTCTAACTAGCTGACGTGATTTTTTCTTTTCATTTAATATTTTTAAACTTCATTTTTCAATTACAGTTGGCATTCAATATTTTATATTTGTTTCCGGTGTGCAGCATAGTGGTGAACAGTTATATAATTTATAAAGTGGTCCCACTGATAATTCAAATAACTTCCTGGCACCATACATAGTTATTTCAATATTATTAACTATATTCCCTATGCTGAACTTTACATTCCTGTGACTATTTTGTAACCAATTTGAACTTTCACATTTTTTACCCATCATCCCAACACCCTCCCTTCTGGCAACCATCAGTCGGCTCTCTGTGTCTAAGTCTCTTTCAAATTGATTTGCTTGTTTACTTTGTTCTTTAGATTCCACGTATACGTGAAATCATTGGGTGTTTGTCTATGGTTGGAGTTAAGTTATAATTCACTGTACAGAAACTTTAAGTACGGACAACTTAGATAACGTATTGAACTAAAATTGAACAAGTGCTTACATAACCTAGTCAGCTCCTAACTGTTCCATCTCCGGATTGCCTAGTCCAGAACTCTGGGGCGTGGCCAAAAGTGGGTGAGGCGGGGCTTTAGGCATTTTCAATCCGGCATTGGCGAGGTCTGCCTCGGGGCCTGGCCACGCCCCACACCGGCTGCACTTGGGGTCCTTTCGAATGCGTTGATATGATTGGCCGGATTCAGGTGGTTCTCTTTTCCTCCCTTGCTGCACGAAGATCGGCAGCCATCATGGTGAGTTTCCCAAACCTGTGCAGTCATCCACTGCATATCTGAGCCATCTTTGGTCCCCCGCTTTCACTGTCTGCGCTACTGCCGCCGGAAACCTGGTTGCTTTTCCCTGGCCGCTTCTGACGGAGGCCGGTGGCCGAGGGCCCCCTCCGGCTTGAATCTCCAGGCTGCGCTGCGGACGCGGCATGCCGGTAGTCAGAATTGAGAGCCCCCGGAGAGAGGAAACGACTGCTGAGTTTGTGGGCTTCGTAGAGCTGAGAGGGTTGGGGCGAAAGACATCGCACCTGCAGTCGCAATTTGGGACAGGCAGTTCGCTGGTGATGGCAGCCCTGGAAGTGAAGAGGTTGCTGGCAGACCCCGGGCGAGTTGCGGCGAGTGCAGCCGTTGCCCTGTGTAAGCTAGAATATTGTCAGCTAATTGGACCCTTTTGTTATACCTTGGGGAAACTGATGCCCGAGAAAAAGAACCCATCATCCTTAAGTTGTGACTACCAAGCCCGGTCATTCGAACGTTTCAGCACAAGTTTCTCAGTTCGCTCAGTTGCGGCCCATTTTTTCCTGACTCTACATTTGTAACTATGTACCGTTGAAGTGGACAAACTGTTTGATGTGCTTTTTCAAACAAATTGAAATCTGGCAGTCAGTCCTTGGCATGTGAAGCCTTCCCACCTTTTTGGTAAAATTTCCTTTTAGTGTGAACATTCTAAGTACCGATGTCTCTTGGTAGTTACTGTGGAAAAGAGCTGTTGGGCCATTCAGAAGGCAGTCCATATGGGCTGTAGAGTTGGTCGTTCAGGAAGGGTAGTTTACATGCAGGTCAGTGCAGTGTTTGTGTCAGATTAGTACAGGATTAGTACAGTACTATAAACACGGTATTGTGACTCTTTACAGGCTTGTATTACGCCAGAGAGGCTGTTTTTAACTGGAGGTGACTTTTTGCTCCAAAGGGGACAATGAAAATATGCAAACGCTTGGTTACAACTGGAAAGTGGGGTTGCTTCTGGCATCTAGTGATTTTGGAGGCCAAGGTTGCAACTAAACATCTTAAAAGGCTGGGGACAAGTCTCTGGACCAAAATACCAATAGTACTGAGGTTGACATACCATGCTCCAGGGTGATTCCCATTACAAAGTGAAGTAGTATAAATAGATTCATACAAAGCCGTTGACTGCATTTTTTTGGTACTTAGTTGGTGTGTGTGTGAGGTGTGCCCTGTGAGTTAGGCACTGTAAGCGGGTTAGGAGGAGATGGGAATTTGTGCCTTTTTTCTTTGTATTGAAGTTTTCCTGTTACTAATCCATGTGGCTCTTCAATATTTGAAATGTGGCTCCGGTAGCTGAGGAATTCCATTTTAAGTATTAGTTAATTTTTATTAGTTATCCACATGTGGTTAGTGGCTACTGACTTGGACATTGCAGTTCTAGGACTTGGGAAGTCACAGCAATACCAAGAAAAGGTTGAATAGATTCACTAACTACTATTTATATTTTCAGAATGACACAGTGACTATTCGGACCAGGAAGTTCATGACCAACAGACTACTTCAGCGGAAACAAATGGTAAAGAAGGGACACATCAAAGTTGGCTTACTTGTTCTCTACTTTGTGTGTGTGTTTTCATTGCCTTTTCTTAGAGGGAAGGAGAAAGGGAAACACTGATAGAATTGGCTGCTTTCTCACATATGCCCCAGTGGGGTTCAGCCCCTCACCCTGGGTATGTGCCCTGATCTAGAATCGAACCCACAACTTTTGAGTCTACTGGACAAGGTTCCAGCCGAGGCACACTGGCCCAGGCAATTGTTCTTCATTTTTAAAGATGTGTTTCATATTAACAAATACCAAACTTGATATTTCCTTTTAGGTCATTGATGTCCTTCACCCTGGCAAGGCAACAGTACCCAAGACAGAAATTCGGGAAAAACTAGCCAAAATGTATAAGACCACACCAGATGTCATCTTTGTGTTTGGATTCAGAACCCATTTTGGTGGTGGCAAGACAACTGGCTTTGGCATGATTTATGATTCCTTGGATTATGCAAAGAAAAATGAACCCAAACACAGACTTGCAAGAGTAGGTATCCTTATTTTGTTCAAGAGCTACTGAAGACTTGTTTTTTAAATGGTTTTTGTATGGGGAGGGACCTAAAGAACTGGTAAGGGATTAAAAGAAAAGGTTTTTTGATACAGGAACTAGGAGAGGTGGGGTCTGCAGCTTTTGACCTGGGTCTAGAAGGGCAGACAAAAGGTAGTATTGCAGGAGATTAGAACTGGAAGTAGCGATGAGTTTGGAAAGGTAGGTTGGCACCAAATAAAGTGAGATCCTTGTTACCAAATGTTTTTTGGACTTAACTCCCATAGGTAGTCAGGAACCACAAAGGTTTGTGATAATTTCTTGAATGCCAGGCACTAGAGTAAACTACAATAAACTGCAGTAGTGGGCTTGGCAAGCTTCTGAGTTTACATTCTAGACAGTAAACTAAATTAGCCAATGGATTGTTATTTATATCTGTCACTAGCCCTTTTCCTCCCTGCCATTAGATACATTTTCCTGTAGAAGAGCTGTGAGGGAAATCGCTTTGGTGTGGCAGATAGACACTGCACTCTATAATTGGGTGGTCTGGGAGGTGTTGAGGTGGCATTGAAGCCGAGGTCCTTGCAGAGATGGGGAGGCAGTCTTTAGGCAGCAGGAACAGTGAG